CACCCCAGAATGGAAGTGCGTATCGGAGATGCGACTCATAAAGGGCATAATAGACTGTCCTAGATGTTGACAAATTAAGCACATTAGCAACTGATCTAAGTGCGAAACAGGCAGAACTTAATTTTTTAGCTAAAGCATCGATTGCAAATCCCATTTTAAATAGTTGTCCACAACAAGGCCTAAAAATTTCACAGAATCAACGACGTCAATGGTGGTATTATCAAGTTGAAAAGGTAGCAACGTACTTTTATATGATAAGACTTTAGTTTTAGAGACGTTGAGACACAGATAATTAGAATCGCACCATGTTTTTATGTTGATTAAGTCACTGGAAATGGTTCTATGAAGTGCCGTGGTGTCCGGGCTGCTCCATGTGAAACAAGTATCATCCGCGAAGAGACAGATTTTACCACTGATGTCCAGACTAGCAATATCGTTGATAAACAACAGAAACAAAATAGGACCTAGCACTGAGCCCTGAGGTACTCCGCATTCTATTGGCTTGCAAGAAGACACAGTCTTATCAACCCTCACACGCTGGTTTCTGTTGTTAAGGTAGGACTTAAACCATTCAAGAGGCGTTCCCCTGATACCATAGTACTGCAATTTGTTAGTAGGATGTTATGATTAACACAATCGAAAGCTTTCGAGAAATCACAGAAAATTGTTGCTGTAACGAGACGGTTGTTCAGACTGGAGTATACATTATTAAACAGCGAAAACATAGCGTCATTTGTACATTTGTTACTCAAGAACCCAAACTGAAAGGGGTGAGTATTTTGTATTTTAGAAGAAATGATACAAGCCTCTTTTTAACCAGTCTCTCCATGATCTTCGATAACGTGGGAAGGAGTGCAATTGGACGATAGTTGGAAGCTTGCTCTTTATCACCTCCCTTTATGCAAAGGAATAATTATCGCCGACTTAAGGCAATTTGGAAAAGCACCATCTTCAAATGACATATTAATTAAGGCTGAAAGATGGTTTAATGTACATTCCGGCATACTAGAGAACATTTTAAGAGTAAGTCCGTCAGTCCCTGCTGAAGATTTATTTTTAATATCATTTAATGTATTGCGAAGCTCTGCCAACCCCAGAGGCGTAAGGAAGAAACTGTGCAAATTAACATTATAGTCAGAGAGAAATGATAGAGGATCAAGGGAGGGTGAGATAGTATTCACTATATTCTTCGCCACATTTACAAAGTAATTGTTTAGGTCCTCAGGTGAAGTTGAGGTTATGTTGGACGAAGAAACCTTACTCCTCAAGTCATTCACAATCGACCATGTTTCTTTGGCAATATTACCGGACTCAGTCAACCTCCTATTGTAATAGATGTCCTTGGCGGCTTTTATAGTCTTATGGTAAATTTTCCTGTAAAGTTTCACGTACTCGTGAAAGAAGACACTATCCACTATCTATCTAATATCCTCTCCATGCTGCATAGTCTGCGGCGCGCTTCGGTTCATTTGTTTACGTTTAGGAAAAGATTTGCTTCGTGCCGGTAAATAAAGTCATTCAATTTGATCATTTTTGTGATATAAATTGATTTTATTTGTAGTTGGCGAACTACTGAAAGGTAAGAGTTTGTTCCTGTCTTATCCCATAGGGAATATGCTACTGTTTAATGTGCTACAATAATAATGAGCTTAAAATATTGTTTGCTCTTGTTAGGGCTTAAGTTATTCGGCCATTTTCTTAGCAATTTTGCATGCAAAACGTGAATGTTAGGACACAGACTTTTAAATAAAATTATGATTGGCACTGTGGTGTCTGCGGAATCAGTTATCGAGAAGATGTGAACACTAAAAATGGTGCCTTATGGGTTCGGTGCTCTTTTTTCTGTGTTCCGTATCACACAAATTGTCAAACGAGACCTGACGATGAAGACATTTTTATGTGCGACGGTTGTGATGAGCAGTCTTCAAACGACTCAGAATAAAAATTATTATTATTTCTACTAGGTAAAATACTTGTTTTGTAATAAACTTAAACATTTTCAGCCATTTTATTATCAACTGCTCGTAATCTCATATATCACCAAAATTCCTTTCCACTATCACCAAATTAACTTACCTATAACCAAATTACCTAACCAATTTGTATTTTTTTCAAATGTATTTTTTCTGTCAAAATTGACATCATCTTATCGTTTTGTATACATATATAAGCGATTGTTTGAAACATAAACCTTCCGGATAGGTAAGTTGGAAAAATAATATATCTTCATACGAATTCAAATTCCTATGTTCAAGCAAAAATATCACCAACTTACCTTACTTTACCCTACAATTCGATTTCATTCTTTGACAAATGATTATTATTTGGTCTATTCCTTGTTATTATTAATTTTGATTAACGTTATATTCTTTGCTGTTTAAAGTGTCATATTTTCCGATAACTATTATCACGCTTTCCGTAACATTGAACTAAATTAATTTTGTGCTTCTTTTACATTTTAAAACAACAAGAAATATTACGTTAATTAAACTTCTATGAATAACAATCTATCACAGAATGAAAACGAAGTTATATTACCATAGAAACACGTTGTAATTTTTAGGACTTAAAAAATTCCTCCAGATTTTTTCATGTTTTTCTTAATTTTCTCTAAACCAGAATGGAAACTTGGAAAAGTAGAAACGGGATTAACCATTTTAGAATAAGCGCAAATTTTTATGAAGAATGCATTTTTCTTAAAATGTCAATAATAAAAAAGGTTTTCCTCTTGTAAAGACAATCCGGGGACATCTGCAGTATGTATATTGAAATTTAACATGATTTTTTTTAATCGAGAATGTCAAAAGTTAATACATGATATGCCATTCTATTCATAGTGTCATTTTCTATCGAATAAAGTAAAAAAATACGGAGGGTACCATTTAAACCTTAACATGATTATATCTCCCTAAAGAAAATGAGAATTTACACAGTTTCTTCTTCACGCCCGTAGCATTAGATGACCTCCGTAGTACAATTAATAGTATTAAAAACAAATCTTCATCTGGGACTGATGGGTTTACTCTCAAAATGTTCTCTGAACTTCCTGAATGCACATTAAACCATCTCACTACTTTAATTAACGAGTCATTCCAAAAAGGAGTTTTTCCAAACTGCCTTAAGACAGCGATAATTATTCCTCTGTATAAAGGAGGAGATAAAGATGAAGCTTCGAACTATCGCCCAATTGCACTCCTGCCCGCATTATCTAAGATCATTGAAAGATTGGTTAAAAAAAGGTTTCTATCTTTTCTCCTTAAATATAAAATACATACTACCCATCAATTTGGATTTCTAAGTAACAGTTGCACAAATTATGTCATGTTCGACCTTTTTAATAATGTATACTCTAGCCTGAATAACCATCACTCTACAGCTACAATTTTCTGTGCTTTCGATTGTGTAAATCATATCTTAATTAACAAATTGCAATACTGCGGTTTCAGGGGAATGCCGCTCGAATGGCTTAAGTCATATCTTGGCAACAGATGGCAGCTTGTGAGGATTGATACGTCTATGTCTTCTTGTAAGCCTATAGAATGTGGTGTTCCTCAGGGCTCAGTACTTGACCCTATTTTGTTTCTGGTGTTTATCAACGACATTGCAAATCTAGACATTAGCGGTAAAATCTGCCTCTTTGCGGACGATACTAGTTTCACTTGAAGCGGCCCAGATGTTACGGCACTATATGATACTATATCCAGTGACTTACGCACCATTAACACCTATCAAAAACTAAAGTTTTATCATATAAAAGTACTATACAACCTTTTGTACTTAATAACACCACTATTGACGTCGTGGACTTTTTGAAATTCTTAGGACTTGTTGTAGACATCTCGTTAAAATGGGACTTTCACATCGAAGCTCTATCAAAGAAACTAAGCGCTGCCTGTTTTGCGCTAAGATCAGTTTCTAAGGAACTTAACTTCTCAATCTCTAGAATAGCCTATTATGCCCTTTTTGAGTCACATCTTCGTTATGCCCTTCCATTCTGGGGTACTTGCTGCGCAACAAAATTTGATCGTATTTTCAAACTTCAGAAGAGAGCAGTTCGATATTTATTGGGACTGAACAGTAGAACTCACTGCCCGAATTTCTTTACAAATTTCAAAACACTGACACTTCCTTCTTTCAAACACTTCCTTCTTTATTCATTTTTGAATCCGTTTGCTTAATCCGCAAGCACATATCTGCTATTCCTGAAAGGCCATCTCATAACTATCCATTTAGGAATGCGAAGCACGATCTTTATCTGCCAACCCCGAGCTCAGAACTAGTTAAAGGTTCAATACTGTACAATGCCAAAAAATGTACAATCATCTGCCTTTGAATATCAAGTCGCTTTCATTCTTTCCCGCATTTCGCAAAGCTCTAAAATCACACTTACTGGAGAGAGCCCTATATGTTAACTAGTAAATTTTGAATTTTAAAATTTTTATCATCTCACACACTGGTCAAATGTATCAAGTATTTAATATTTTGTAACTCTAAAATTATATCTATTTACTGCGTACTGTTCTGCAATTGTCCATGTATATTCTTTTTGTCATTTTAATGACTTAAATTTTTTTGAATTGTATTATTTGTATTGTGTATTTTTTGTTGTTTGTATTTTTTTTGTGTTTTTGTTTGTTTTGTGAGTGCTTTGTCGATGAAGCTGTTTTGGCCTTTTGTACAATGAAGCGTTGTTTGTTTGTTTGTTAGAAGTGATCGAAAATAATTGAATACGTCAATAAGTTCTAATTTATGTCATATACTAACATGCCAAATATCGTTTTATATCTGAAAAAATAAAAAAGTTATAGGGGTGATCCACTTTTGAGACGCACCCAGTATAAGAAGCAACAAGCAATTGCATTGGTTATTACTAAAATAATGACAAATAGTTTCCTTATCCCACCTTTTTAGATTTATCGATATATAACAATTATTTATCGAATAATAACACACTGTGTAAACAACAAAAAAATGTTTTTAGCTAGAAAATCAGTTTACAGAAATTAAGTGCGATATGATTCAGACGCGATGTCGTCAAGTTCATTCATCATTATAAAATAATTTTAAACCCGTCACTGTGCATTTTAACGTAGTGCAGCAGACTGGTATATCATGGTCAGTGCCATCGCAAAGATAGTTTAAACAATAATGTGCCGACAGTTAATAATTTTAGTTGCTTGTCTATTTGTCGTGGACGCGGAAAACAGTGAATTTTTTATGACTAAAAAAGTGACATATATAAAACAAGATGCGGTTCGGAACAATTATTTTTCTTACAGTTTGTTGTTACAAAGTGGACAAACAGGAGCAAGGTATATAGTATACACTTATATAGTATAAAAACATAAAAAATATAGGGTTTAATGGTTTAAATAAACCCCTTAAAGTGTTTGTTTAGCAGAATTACCTTTTGTCAGTACAATTAAATCACATCAGCGCTGATTTTTAATTAATTATATTGTCATATTAATATTAAAAGCAAGTTGCATCTTCTACTCCAGAAATAGCATATGTATTAATAAAATTTGATTAGGCAGTTTTACATTTAGAGTATATTTAGAATTTATACAGGGTGTCTCAGAAATAAGTGCAAATATTTTAAGGGGTGGTAGATCTCGACAAAAGAAACATATTTTCTCTTTATCGTTTTTCAAATAAGTCCAAAATAACGGAGTTATTTTACTTTGAAAATTTCCAAAAAAAAAAAATGATTTTTGCTAAAATTTTGAGAACTACTGGATCTTTTCTGGATTTTCTTTCTTGTTAAATTTAATCTAATACATATGTTGCCATATTGTCAAGAAATTATATTAATTTGAAGTTTCAAGAAATTTCGAATTTTCAAAAAATTTTTTTCGCCAAAAAACCCTCATAGGCGTGTTTCTAGGGTTGGACTGTACTACCAGTTAAAATAATTGCACTTATTTCTAGGATACCCTGTATTGATATTACAGATATACTCCTATAAGTTTTATAATGTTTATTTAACTTATAACAATGTAAAATCAAATTTTCCAATGAATAATGCAATAATTTTTAGTATTAAGGAAATGATAGATAATCCTGGTATAATATATTATACTGCTGTATTTGTTAATTATTGTAAAAATTTCCAAATTTTCCCTATTTTTTCAATAAAAATTGGTATAATACAAAAATATGTCTTGCATTTCTAAGTTACTAAAAAAAGTAGTTAAAATGATATGATTTTCATATACAATATACATATATCTTATCATCTTCAAATAAAGAAAAATCCATAATTTACGAATTAAATTATAGAGAAAAAAAAACAAATAAATAATAATACAAATAAAACATACAAACAATATAAATATTTAAGTTTTCTGTGGCAGTAATTAAAAAAAAACTTTTATTATTATTTTTTTCTCTCTTTAATGATAAAATACATTTACTTACAGTAAATAAAATGTAATAATAATGTTCAAGTTTTCATACATTTAAATGTACCATTTGATCGAAAAACATGGGTGTCAAAGATGTATTGGACGTGAAGATCGCTGGCATTTTGTTTTCAAAATTACACCTATGGGAAAAGTCATCAATCGTCATTTCCAAGCCAACTGGACGCCGATTTTTTACAACCGTGCGGAATTATTTTAGTACATTTCTAAAAATATATTATTTTTAATGTAGACAAAAATATTTTTTACTACTAGTTATTTTTAATTACCTACTCTATTTAAAATTATTTTATTTTTTTTAATTTTTTTTCTTTTTACTTTTTCTTTTTACTTTTTCAGATAAAAATCGAGATTTGGTTTGTTAGTATATGTCATAAATTAGGATTGATTGACGTATTCAATTGTTTTTGGTCACTTCCGGCTTCACCGGAGATGACTATAACTTTTGATTTTTAAATGACACCCTCGGTTTTTGTTACTTTATTCGATAGAAAATGACATTCTGTATAGAATGATATATCATATGTTAATATTTGACATTTTTGAATATGATTTATTTGAAATTGCAACATGCGATTCATAACGACAATTTGACTCGAAATACTAAATGTGTGGTACCAAATTATTCGTAAAAAAATGCTTATTCCAACTATGTTAATGAGACACCCTCATTCAACTTGAAAAAAAAATGAAGATATGATTAAAAATACGATTTGAGCATTTTCTAACTGGTCAGGACAAGACACTAAAAGCATTAGACGATGAAATATATTTTTACAAGGCTCCTTGATTAAGAATTTTAAGATTAGTAAGTAAAATACGATTTGGGCATCTTTTATCCGGCTAGGACAAGACACTAAAAATATTAGAATATCAAATCTATTTTTTTCAAAGCTCCTTGATTAAAAATTAGTATTTTTAACACATACCTCTAGATTGAAATTTAAAATACAATTTTGTTTTCAGCAAAAATGTCAAAAGTTGACGTACGATATGCCATTATATTCAGAGATAGAGATATAGTTGTAGTAATAATATCCGGTGAAACAGGAAGTTTCCGAAAAGAATTGAATACGTCAATCAATCCTAATTTATGGTATATACTAACGTTCCAAATCTCGTTTTTTTTTTCTGAAAAAATATAAAAGTTATAGGGGTGAGCCACTTTTGAGACCGCACTCGGTATATTAAAAACAACAATTTTGAGAAATTTAAAAAAAGTATATTTATAAAATAAATTTCTATCGAAGCAAGAAAAAATATGATAAAAATTTGTACTATATTTAAATAATACAAATTACAGAGCCAATTTATAAGTCAAAATTAGAAATAAATAAAATAAAGTATTCATGGTATTTGATGTTGAGTCATAATACTGTAATAACCGCATGTGACACATAAACAAATTGTTCATAAACAATTAACTGCTGATTAATAATTTTCCTATGTTAATCCACTGTTTGTTTTGAATTATTTGTGAGAATTTGGAAAACCATCTTGCGATTATGCTAAACTAATCTACAGTATACTACAGATAAAATATCTTTAAATCTAGGAGTTTCTCCTGAAACGCGCCAGGAAGTGAAATAAAATTATATAAAAGTCGATTACAAATTTAAGAAAAAAATATTCACTTTTTTTTAATGAAACACCCGGTAAATTTTACTTTTTTTTTAAAGTTTGTCCGATTTACAATACATATATGTACAGGGTGGGTCAAATTCGACGCTTTTAAATGGAAACACCCTTTTCTATAGGAGATAGACGAAAATTAATATCGGTGTCTGGAGTTCAAATTGCATCAAAAACATAATGGTGAAAACCGCACATCAATATCTGTTACCGTTTCGGAGTTACGGGGTGTTTCTCAAAAATGTGCATTTTTAACAAATTGCTGTAACTTTTTTGCTATGGAAAATTTTGTATTTCTATGAAGACATTTCCAAAGCACCTTTTTACGTAGAATTTAATGGTTTAAGTATAATTTTTTAAAAATTAATAATTCAAGAGTTATCAACAGAAAAATTGATTTTTTATTTGGGACACCCTCTATATTTTTAATTAATTAAAGTGAATTTAAAATTACCTTTCCAAAAATATAGCACACTTAATATTTTCTTATAATCCCCTTCGAAATACAGAATTTTTTAACTAGTAGGCTTTGGACCCCTTATTGATGATATGCCCTTAATGGAACTCGAAAACATATTTTTCCAGCAAGACGACGCACCGCCTCAGAACGCTGAAGCTATCAGGAAATTTTTGCAGCCAATTTCAAGAATAATTGAATAGCTAACCAAGATCCCAGCCGTTGGCCGTCGAGGCCGCCTGACTTAGTGCCGATGGATCTAATCTTTTGGATATATTTGCGGAAGAATAAAGATTCCTTATTCTTCCGTATAATCTACACAAGAATTAGAAATACTTAGCAGTTATGGGAGGGTATGTTTCACCCCCACTGAGTTAATGAATTCCGCGAGAAATGTTCAAAAACTGCCAGTTCCATAACAGAAGACGGTCGATATGTCGAACACCTGTAGCAAAATCTCATGTCTTGGTTTGCTATTTATTTTTATTGTTATTAGATATAGTTTAAATGTGTTGATGTTGGTTAAATAAATTTTAAATTGTTATAAAATTCTGCATCTCTTATAGCAAATATTATTTTCGTTTTAATTGATGCTCACAGCTAGAATTTTTTTGCATTACAGCCGGTACCGTTCAAAGCCTACTTATTTAAAAGCGGGCGAATTTTTATATACTCTACATCTCGAAGAGGAATCGAGCAAAATATCAAGTGTGTTATATTTTTGGAAAGGTAATTTTAAATTCTTTTCAATAAATTAAAAATATATAGGGTGTCCCATATAAAAAATCAAATTTTCTGTTGATAATTCTTAAATTATTAATTTTTAAAAAATTATACTTAAACCATTAAATTCTACGTAAAAAGGTGCTTTGGAAATGTTTTCATAAAAATACAAAATTTTCCATATCAAAAAAGTTACAGCGATTTGTTAAAAATGCATATTTTTGAAAAACACCCCGTAACTCCGAAACGGTAACAGATATCGATATGCGGTTTTCACCACCATGTTTTTGACAAAAATTGAGCTCCAGACACCGATATTAGTTTTTGTCTATCTCCTATAGAAAAGGGTGTTTCCATTTAAAAGCGTCGAATTTGACCCACCCTGTACATATAGAGGGTGAGTCTTAAATAAGTTCAAATATTTTCAGGGCTGCTAGATCTCGATAACATAAAATATTTTCTCTTTAATGTTTCTTAAATAAGTTCAAAATTACTTTACTTTGAAAGTTTTAAAACATGATTTCTTGCTAAAATTTTGAAAACCACTGGATTTTTTTCAGATGGGGTTTCTTACTTGTAAATTTAATTTACTACCTGTGTTGCCATATTATCAAGATTATTATATTTTTAACAAAAAAATTAAAATATTTCCAAAAAGTTTTCTTAAAAAAATTTAAATTTTATAAACGAAAAATATTATCGTTAACATTTTCTGTGTCGAAATATACTACCCTTAAAAATATTTGCACTTATTTAAGACACACCCTGTTTATATAGTTTGTTTATATTTGGGTGAACCATTTTTGGATTATTTTGGTTTAATCAATGCAACCGCTACCACAAAAATATATAGTCTCTAAGGCACACTACACATTTTGATAGTTTTTGGTTTATTTTCCGAAACATAGGAAATCCCATGCAAATTTTGAATTGTCCAAATATTGACTCTCCTTCACTCTGAATATTGATTTTACAGCGAAGTCCTAAATAGGGTTTTTAAAGATCTGGGTATACTGAAAACACTTACCAAATTTGAACAATTTTAGGCAAGCCGTTTTTAACTAATTTGAGAAAAACTGCATCTATTTTTAAATTAAAACTATGAACTGGTAACAATGTAAAACCATGTAAATGCCAACATACCTTAAGTTGACAACTTATAATTTTGTCAATGTCAAATTATATTTCCTAGCTTTTAGAGTATATTTGCTTTGTACAGCCTGTTGATAAACTGTAGGTCCCGCGTACTTGTGAAACACTGACGACATATATCACAAGTGGTACATGCGAGAGGTAGCCGAGAGCTTAATTCGTTTTTTTTATTACCGATTCTGAACCGTTCTAGAACTGTGATACTCATGCGCAGATAGACGTATAAAAAATTATTAAATTTGCCTATGTGCTGTCTAGTTCTAGGACGGTTCAGAATCGGTAATAATAAGAACCCGAACAAAAACGATGCTCTGTATAGGGTATGGCACTGTAAGAAAGCTTCATTCAGAACCTCACAATTAGTGGAATAAATTAGTGGTTTCAATTAGCGTAGAAGCGTGTGTTCCTTTAATTTCAATGTAAGCATTCAGAACGTTAAAATTAGAGGTAGACATTTTCAATTAGTGGAAAAAGTTATCAAACTTTTTACTTTTCCACTAATAATTATACTTCAAAATTTGAAGTATTATTTTGGCCTATCTTCCGGCCATGTGGCCTATCTGACCTATCTTCCGTCAAGAGAAATTGTGGTTAGAAATCAAAAGTTGACTGTTTTATAAATATTAGACTTTCTCAATGGATACAACTGACTAACGTTGCTAGGATATTCTACTAATTTTAATTGTGTTTTTTAACATTCTGAATGGTCGTAAACCAAAAAAGTATAAACTGGAAAGCTTCATTTTCAGAACCTGGCAATTAGTAGAATAAATTAGTGATTTCAATTACACTTTATACTTTTTAGTTTACGATCATTCACAATGTCTAAATAATAATACAATTAAAATTAATCGAGTATCCTAGCAACACCTTGCAGTAATCAGTTGTATTCATAGAGAAAGCCTAATATTTAGCTTATAAAACGATAAATTTTGGTTTCTAACCTCGTTTTCTCTTGACGGATGATAATCAAAGGCCAAAATGACATTCCTTGCAAATTTTGGTTAGTGAAATAGTTAGCAAATTAGCAAATTAAGTTACTCATTAGCACATTAGTGGAGAAGTCAAAAATTTGTTAACTTTTTCCACTTATTGAAAATTACTACCACTAATTTTGACGTTCTGAATGCTTACATTCAAATTAAAGGAATAAACTTCTACGTTAATTGAAACCACTAATTTATTCTATTAGTTGCGAGGTTCTGAATGAAGCATAATTGAAACCACTTAATTAAGTGTGCCCGATATGCATTTTGTAATTTAAAACTTGTTCAAATTAGACAAAAGCCTAAGGTTAAAGCTTCATTCAGAACCTCGCAATTAGCGGAATAAATTAGTGGTTTCAGTTAGCGTAGAAGTGTGTTCTTCTAATTTGAATGTAAACATTCAGAACGTCAACATTAGTGGTAGGAATTTTGGATTAGTGGAAAACGTTAACAAACTTTTAACTTTTCCACGTACTTTTCCAAGTTATACTTCAAAATTAGCGAGGAATATAATTTTGGCCTTTGATTATCATCCGTTAAGAGAAAATGTGATTTGAGGATGAAGGATTTGCAGGATATTCTATTAATTTTAATTGTGTTTTTTGAGACATTCTGAATGATCGTAAATTAAAAAGTATAAAATGTAATTGAAACTACTAATTTATTCCACTAATTGCGAGGTTTTGAATGAAGCTTAAACCGTAGGTACTATATCATAATAGCGTAGAGAGTTGGCAACTTAAGGTATGATGACACTTGCGTGGTTTTGCATTGTTACCTGTTCAGTTTAAATTTAAAAATAGATGCAGTGTTTCTTAAATTAGATAAAAATGGTTTGTCCAAAATTATTCAAATTCGACATGTGTATTCAACATACGACTTCGCTGTAAAATCAACAGGGAAGCTAATATTTGAACAGTTCAAAATTAGCAAGGGATTTCTTATGTTTCCAACGCCGATGCACCACAAGTATTATTCGCAATAATATTACAGATTATACAGATTATAATCTTTGTTTTTTCTTTATTGTTTTTCGTGGTTCCAATTTTCGGAATTGGGCACTAGTTAGGTTTGCGCACATAGCACGCCCACTTATGGTCTCTAAAATTGTGCACAGCGCCTGACCGGAACAGTTATTAGAGAGATATCGGAAAACCGAATAGCGTCATCCAGTATTTACGCGTACCTTATCATGGTTATGATATGCGCGAGTCAATTTTTAACGCAACACCCGCTAATAACGTTACCGCCTGACGTAATTTGCGGATCAATTACACCTAGCGCTCTTTCTAAATAACCTCTGATAATGTTTAAAAATTGCTTAAATGGGCATGTGCGGGTATTTGACAACCGGAGCCGGCCGGCTAGATCTTTTATTTTAGGTTATATTTGAATTGTTTTGAATTATTGCTTTAGTTTTATTAGGTAATTTGATATTTAAGTAGCTGGGATTAGTTTTAATTAAATAAATATGGCCCAAAATATGGATTCCACCTCTTCCAATACTAAAGAACCTATAAAGAGTCTTAGGTTTACAGCAGATGACGACTTAGCCCTTCTAAGAGAATTTGTTGCTTGTTGCCCTAAACCCATTGGCAGACGTTGAACAATAAAGCACTGGAAATAAGCACTTTAGCCCTTGAACAATAAAGCACTGGAAATAAGCACTTTAGCCCTTTAGTTTTAAAATACCTAGTAAACAAAACAATTTCAATGTTTTAAATTCAAAGTTAGGTTAAGTTTAAATAGCGGACGCGACGCGATCAGAATTCTTTCCGATCCGATAACTATAAATGAAGAGAGTTAATACCACCTCACGTAAAGGAAATAACACCTGGCCTTATTAACGTCCATGCACGCTATTCGGTTTAGCGATATCTCTCTATTACGCTGTTTATTGTTATTTTACGCGAGTTTATTTTTGCGAACAGGAAATTTGAATCGTTTGCACATCGTCATAAAAAACAATTTTCGTACCACGAATTAGGGACAAGATTTTTATCTGTATACTTATAGGATACCTAATCTGTGATAATACACTATGTATATCTATGGTTTGTTATAGTGTCATAGTCGGCGCACCAAGAAGTGGAAATTCAATAGACGGCAACGGTGATGTTTTCAAATGTAGCTGGAATTACAATGAAGAACCCACGTGTTATAGATCAGGTAAAATTAAGTATATAACTGCAGTTACATAAAGTGGGTGGTCCATTACTCCGAGGCAGTTATATGAATAGACGTTTTATATAAATGTTAAATATTCTACAAATATTTTCCTGTATACAGGTGTGCCATAAAAATTAGTGATAAAGTCGCAAGTTCTTTTAAACTGATAACACCCATTTTTTCTACACCATAAAATTCTGCATAATATAATAAATCCATAAAAAGCTTACATTATCTTACGCAGGGTTTTTTTTGTCGCGTAACAAATATCGCTCTCTTTAATGTTTTTAAATGTAGTATCTTGTATAATATTTTTCTTTTAGTTGTAGTATTAAAACATAAACATTTTTTTTATTTAAAATGTTCTTAAATTTTTAAAGCTTTTGCACATATTTGGTATATTCTATTACATATTATTATGGCCCTTTCAGCGTGCAGCGGTAAAATAAGAGACAAAAATCTTTAAGTAAATTTGAAAACAAAAGTTACAGTTTACAGTTGAAAGAGCCATATGTAATACTAGCGTGTACCAACGACTTCGTTCGCGTCGAATTAATCATTTGTAATAGTGATGATAAAGCAAAGCAAGAATTTCCATTAACATACAAACTGGATAAAATTTTCTCACATTTATGTCAGCATGAGAAAAAACAATATGGCGATATTATTATATAACTTGGTAATATTTGAGGGGTAGTTTTGTCTCGTTGGAATTTGACTTTCGAAAAATCCGTTTGCGAAAAATAAGCTTTTTACGTCAAGCAGTTTAAGCAGAATCGTGGTTAAGAAATTGACCAACTTTTTGGAACACCCTGTATGATTTTTTCAAAAATTTCAAAATATGTAAAAAAAACAAATAAATTATGCTTGTCCAAGCGTTTTCCCGAAAGACTAACCGTTTTTTAAATAATAAATATTGTAATATTTGAGGGGCGTTTTGACCCTCTTGGAATTTGAGATTCGAGAAACTCTTCCTTATTGAGCCTCTACACCCCACAGTCAATCCGTTTGCCAAAAATCAGCTTTAAACGTCAAGCAGTTTAAGCAGAATCGTGATTACTCAATGGTCATATTTTATGAAACACCCTGTATAAATTTATAAAAAATGTTAAAATATGTAAAACAACAAAATAAAATATACGTGTTTAAGAGTTTTTCCGAAAAACTCACCGGTTTTTAAATATAAAATATTTTAATATTTGAGGGATAGTTTCACCCCCTTAGAATTCGAGTTTCGAAAAATCCCTTCTTATCGAACCTCTACACCCTAAAATCAATCTTTTTTCCAAAAATCAGGTTTTTACGTCCAGCGCTTTAAGCAGGATCGTGATTAATTAATGACCAGATTTTTCGAAACACCCTGTATACATTTTTTAATAATCTTAAAATATGTAACAAAACAAAATAAAATATACATGTTTAAGCGTTTTTTCGGAAACTTGACCGTTTTTTAAATAAAAAATATTAATTTTGAGGGGTGGTTTCACCCTCTTGGAATTGGAATTTCGAAAAATTCCTTCTTATCGAACCTCTACACCCAAGAATCAACCTGTATGCCAAAATTGAGCTTCTTACGTTGAGTGGTTTGAGCAGGATCGTGATTAATCAGTATGTCAGTCACTTAAGGATTTTATATATATTAGTATAGATAGATACACACACCGGAAAAGTCTAGGGATATTACAATTTTATCCAGCCATCATCAGTAATTTTATTATTTGCATTTCTGATATAATAAAATTAAAACAAACAAATAGTTGACAGGACGTATTGGAAATAAAAATGCGAACTTTACCGAATTTTTCAAATTTACATTGATTTTTATTGAACTCAAAAAAATATACACATTTTTTTTTATTCTAAACTGTGAATTAAAAAAAAAGATAAAACCATATTTAATTAATAAAAGGTATAGCCTCCTCTACTGTTCATTACAGCCCTACATCGTCTCTCCATGTTCCTGATCAGGTTGTCGATCTCTTCTTGAGGTACAGCCTGCCACGTTGCATTCACGGCCCGAACCAGATCCCTACAAGTTTCACGAGGCATACCCGGCATACCCATTCTCAAAATTATTCTTTGGACCGCGTCCCATACGTGCTCGATGGGGTTGAGGTCAGGAGATTGTGCCGGCCAGGGTAAGATGTTTAATTGATGAGCATTGATAAACTCACTTACCACTCTGGCTGTATGAGGCCGTGCATTGTCATGCATGAGAATGAAGTTTCTCCCAAAATCATTGGCATATGGTAACGCGACAGGCTCAAGAATTAAATCACGATATGTGATTCTTTTTAGAAACCTTTCAAGAAAAACGAGATCGGTTTTTCGGCCTAACTGGACTTCTCCCCAGACCATAACTGTTCCACCTTGATAAGGGTGCACTTCCTGAACATGATCCAACCGAATAAAATTTCCCGGTTCTCTCCATACCCTAAGCCTTCTCGAATCCGGATGAATTCTAAAGCGTGACTCATCCGTGAAGAGAACATTGGCCCATTATTCATTCGACCACTGAACATGATCTTGAGCCCACAAATATCGTACCTCTCTATTTCCTCTCGTTAAGGGTTGAGCTCTCCAGGGGCGTCTGCTTCTTAAGTTGACCTCTCTTAATCTATTGCCAACAGTGTCAGGACTAACGGTTACATTATGTGTGTCCTGGAGAACTAAACTAAGCTCTGGTGCTGTAAGAGTCGGTCGGCGTCGAGCATTTAATTGTAAAAAATGATCTTGCTGAGGGGTAGTAATGCGATGTCGCCCTGTGTGCCTTTCAGCAACATCACCACTTTCACGGTAGCGTGCACTTAATCGCGATATTACACTATGCGTTGTTTTTAATGCTCTAGCTACGTCGATTTGGCGCATTCCAGCTTCGCTGGAATTATATATTATTCTTTTTAAGGAAATGTAAATACAGGGTGTCCCAGAAATAAGTGCAGGTAGTTTAGTGGGTGGTAGGTGGTAGATCTGAACAAAAGAAACATATTTTCCCTTTACCACTTTTAAAATAAATTAATAATAACCAAGTAATTTAAGAGAGCTGCCTGCAGCAATTGATAATCAGCCGCAAATACCGAGCAATTACCAGAATCTCAGCTTGTTCGACGCGCAGTGTTGACACTTCGATTAGAAGGATTTAAAAACGACTTGGAAAATTCAGATTAAAAGTAAAACATTAGAAAACGGGACAGATCGATGTAATTAGCACTTTAGCTAAAAGCGCAACTCTACTCCTAACAATACTCCATTTTAGTGTGATTCTTGACTGCACTACACTTAATATATTCATATCCCATCTATGTCCCATCTGAATTATTTAGAATTATTTTTTGAAAATTTAAACTCCCCTGTTTTTCTATCTCACACTCTTGTTTTTGTGAATAAACACCAAAACAATAATTGATATTTCTATTTGAATAATAAAAGTATTTTTGCAGGCTTACCTCTCATTTGCCTATTTCTTTTAGTTTTGTGAGAGGTTTTTAGAGGAGTTGTTTTGAGTAAAATCTCAAATAAATTGGATAATCTAAAAACTCGATCAGCTGATCTGTTTAAATGTAGGTCAAACTTTGATTATCTACATATCTAATAGAGGGCGCTGATTCAAAAGTTAAAGAGCTGCTATAATAATTGTTCATTATTTCAGTTTACTTAACTGTAAAAGGTATAGTTTAAAATATAGTAGGCGTTGCATTATAGGTACTTAATAGTAATCTACAATGATTAAAAATCTAGTGAATAAAATTGATTTTAGTATTTTTTGTAGAAATTTAAAAATGTGAACTTATAACTTATAAATACACAGAATGTGGATAATGTAGGATGTGGCACCAATGCATTCTTTCGAAGCACTATAAACAAATTTCCAGAAACTGAACAGGCATAATCCAAAAGTTTTTCAATATTTTCCGGAAAATGTCAATAAAAATAGAAATTTTTCCACATTTTTGTTCGCAAAAAAACCTCATGGTCGTGTTTCTGGGGTCGAACTGAACTACCAGTTAAAATATTTGCGCTAATTTCTGGGATACCCTGTATAATACATAAGAATATTAATTGAGGTCTGCTCGAGTAAAATATTAATTTTCTTTTTTAATAGATTCATTAACTTATATTATTTCTGTTCTAATCATTAGCGTAACTAGCAATTTATCCTGGGTGGGCCTGGGGGGGGTGGTGGTCTGTGGTTTAACCCAGGGGGGGGCTAGGACTTTTGTTTTTTTAAAAATGAAAAATAATTTAATAACACACATTTTTTGAATGAAACGTTTACATGAATTTCTCTATGAATACATTTCATAGACTTGGTTTATCAAACCGTGTTCCCCTAGATTACTTAAATACCTACAAATTTTCTAAAAAAAATAAAAATTAACACATTTGTTGAACACAACAAAATAATATTAACTAGACAAAACTAGAAAACGTCATTTTTACTCCATCACAAGCAAATAAAAATTAATATGTAGCCAAGAGTCATAATTCAGGATTTCTCTGGGTGGTGCCCAGCAGTACCTGGGGGGGGGGGCACCCCCGTGCACCCCTGTAGTTACGCCAATGGTTCTAATTATTTATTTTTATTATTTAGGAATTGCTTTTGAAAATGGTGTTCAAGGAAATTTCTTTGGGGGAAGTCTAGATGGAGAAGACAAATTAAATGGTTCCGTTGTGGTAACACGTTTATCTGTGAAATAGTTTCTATCAAATCTTAAATAAATAATTCAACTTTTAGATTTGTGCACCACGATCGCACGTCACTTCCAAATTATCTTCAAGGTTGGACAAAGACTACATGAGAGGTTTCTGTATTTACGCAAGAAGCTCCAATTTTCGGGAATATGTGAATACAAATGTATTTAGAGGGTCATCATATACTGGTAAGGTAGATATGATAATTTACTGCTATTGGTTCTGTGAAGGTATAATACATTATGCTGAAGAAACTTGACTGATTTAATTTTTGCACCTAAGCAGACAAGGTAAAACGGCAAAATTTTCTAAAATACATAAAAACATTCTGTTCTTTAGCAAAATATATTATATTATATATTATACATTATATGTGTATTACATTCACTCACCGGTACCAAAACCGGGCACCTTTATTAAAAGTTTGACGTATTTTAATGTTGATATTTTAGTGAAAGTTTGAAACATCCTGTGGAATATATCAGGACATCAAGGACTTTAAAAATCATTTTATCATCTAGGTACATCCTTTCTCGATAGTTTGTTTTTTGGTTCATCTCAGTAGCTTTTTTTTTGTTGGAGATATTCGCTTTTGATGAAGACACTAAGGTTTTTTGTAATGTTTACCAGTCATGCCTTTGGTTTTGGTCATAGTCAACAGACCTAGTAAGTTCGTCTAGATCGTGTCGATTTGAAGTTCTCATACGAAGGCTCCTGGACGTCTAGTATATGAACTTGTCTCGAAGAAGCGACTGCACTGTACTTCGTGCACAGTGTACACCATTCTATATCCATTCCATGCAGGGGCGGATACAGGAATTTATTTTAGGGGGGGGGCCAAAATGAAAAGTAATGTAGAATATGCTTTTTAGGGCGCCATTTTTAACCCAAAAGCCTAATATTTAACACAATTTACAGATTTTAGGGGGGGCCCGGGCCCCATGGGCTCCCCCTCTGTATCCGCCTCTGATTCCATGTCCGTTGCGTATTTTTATTGTATTGACTCTATACGTAAGCTTCCGTTCCGTAACAATTCCATACTTTTTATTGTACAGGGTGGGTCAAATTCGACGCTTTTAAATGGAAACACCCTTTTATATAGGAGATAGACGAAAAATCATATCGGTGTCTGGAGCTCAATTTTCATCAAAAACATGATGGTGAAAACCGCACATCAATATCTGTGACCGTTTCGGAGTTACGGGGTGTTTTTCAAAAATGTGCATTTTTAACAAATCGCTGTAACTTTTTTTGCTATGGAAAATTTTGTATTTCTATGAAAACATTTCCAAAGCACCTTTTTACGTAGAATTTAATGGTTTAAGTATATTTTTTTTAAATTAATAATTTAAGAGTTATCAACAGAAAAAATGATTTTTTATTTGGGACACCCTCTATATTTTTAATTAACTGAAAAGAATTTAAAATTACCTTTCCAAAAATATAGCACACTTGATATTTTGTTATAATTCCCTTCGATATACAGAATTTTTAAAAGTTCGCCACTTTTAACTAGTAGGCTTTGGATCCCCTATTGATGATATGCCCTTAATGGAACTCGAAAACATATTTTTCCAGTAAGACGACGCACTGCCTCCGAACGCTGAAGTTATCTGCAAATTTTTGCAGCCAAATTCAAGAATAATTGAATAGCTAACCAAGATCCCAGCCGTTGGCCGTCGAGGCCGCCTGACTTAGTGCCCATGGATCTAATCCTATAGATATATTTGCGGAAGAATAAAGGTTCCTTATTCTTCCGTATTATCTAGACAAGAATTAGAAGTACTCAGCAGTTATGAGAGGGTATCTTTCACCCCTACTGAGTTAGTGAATTCCGCGAGAATTGTTCAAAAACTGCCTCGTCTGTCCATAGCAGAAGACGGTTGATATGTCGAACACCTGTAGGAAAATTTCATGTCTTGGTTTGCTATTTATTTTTATTGTTATTAGATATAGTTTAAATGTGTTGATGTTGGTTAAATATATTTTAAATTGTTATAAAATTCTGCATCTCTCATAGCAAATATTATTTTCGTTTTAATTGATGCTCACAGCTAGAATTTTTTTGCATTACATCCGAGCCGGTGCCGTTCAAAGCCTACTTATTTAAAGCGGACGAATTTTTATATACTCTTTATCTTGAACAGAAATCGAGCAAAATATCATGTGTGTTATATTTTTAGAAAGGTAATTTTAAATTCTTTTCAATAAGTTAAAAATATACAGGGTGTCCCATACAAAAAATCAAATTTTCTGTTGATAATTCTTAAATTATTAATTTTAAAAAAATTATACTTAAACCATTAAATTCTACGTAAAAAGATGTTTTGGAAATATTTTCATAAAAACACAAAATTTTCCATAGCAAAAAAGTTACAGCGATTTGTAAAAAATGCATATTTTTGAAAAATACCCCGTAACTCCGAAACGGTAACAGATATCGATATGTGGTTTTCACCATCATGTTTTTGACAAAAATTGAGCTCCAGACACCGATATTAATTTTCGTCTATGTCCTATAAAAAACGGTGTTTCCATTTAAAAGCGTCGAATTTGACCCACCCTGTTATTTTAAAAATGTGTATCTTTTAAAAAAGGTAATAGATTTAATTTAAAGGTGAAAGAATAAATAAATATCATCAATGTTAACAGAGCTGGTACAAATGTAAGTACTTGACAACGCTGTGTCCGTCCGCCAAAAAATGTATGGAAAAAAAGGATATGGAACGGAAGGAAACGGAACGGATAGTGTGTAGTAGTCATAAAAATCGGTTCACTAGAACACACTATAAATATAGAAATTTTAAAACATTTTCCGATGCACGTTATCAATCACATCGAAATTGACACTAAAGCCTATAAACCTGAGTAAATGAAATTTTAGCAAAAATGTTTAAATTTGTTGACTAAATTAAAATACCAAGCAGCTCTTCATTATACTTTATAAAACAAATGATTGTAACAGATATTTAATTTAGATTAAAGCTGCAAAAATTAGTTTAAACCGATTTTTATTATCGCCTTATTGGTCACATTGCGCCATGTTCAGCAATGTTGTTTTGTATTATTTGACAATTATCCTAGTGTCAGTCATTATTTTGTATAATATCGTGTTGTTGAAGTTTTGGGAGTCATTCTCGTTTTTTGCGGTTTTTCATAGTTTTTTTTTTAAATTGTACTTCTAATCACAAAAAAGTTCTTTTAAGAACTAAATTTTCAAGATTTTTTACTGCATTTTTTGAAATTGTTGATTGAAAATATGCCGAAGCGTCCTTTATTACCCTTGAATGCAGTCAGAGAAGTAAGATTAGCATATTATACCATTTTAAAGTTATTTCTACTTATTTCAATTTGTAGGGGGTAGCTGCTGCCTTAAAAAAGTTATATAAAAATTATATACTAAATATATTTATGTTGTTTGTCATTTTTAAATTAAGATTCATCTCATAAATCCATAACAATCTGGCAGCGCTGTCGCCATCGCTTATCACTCAAAGTTGATGACGTGCATCGGAAAATGTTTTAAAATTTCATTATTCTTTAACAAAGATATAATATTTTATGTAAACGGAAGGGAGACGGAAGGTAGCTCATACGGAAGGTATAGTAAGAATCAACCTTTATTCTCAATTTAAAGCAAGTATAGCGGATACAACTTCTGGACTTAAAACCATCTCTGCTAGACTAACTGCCCAACAGCCAACAGTCAATAATAATATGATTTTTCAATATCATAAACGCTATTTCATAAGTCTGTTGACTGTGACCAAAAGCAAAAGCAAAAGCAGGGTTTGAATTTTTACATTAAAAATTCAAAAAAATACTGGTGTCTTCTTCAAAAGCGAATATCTCCAAAAAAGATAAAGTTGAGAATTTTTATTTTTAATTTAGAAAGATTTAGAAAATGTGGTGGTAGAGATAAGAAGTAGGCTCGAATAAAATATACAGGGTGATCCGAATTGTAATAGGAAAACTTTGGCAGCATATTCTGGAGATAAAATAAGTAAAAAAGTTCGTATAACTTTATCAGCAAAATCAAACACTAAATTACCACAATACACCAAAACACTTTTATGCCGGATGCGCGTTTACCATGTTAGCATTATCAGCAGATGATTAAAACTCAGTTTTAATTATCTGCTGATTGTGATAGTGATAACATGGTTAGCGAAACGCGCGTCCAGTAGAAGTGTTTTGGTGTATTGTGGTAATTTAGTGTTTTATTTTGCTGTTGTAACATCAAAGGTTTCGACACCCAACCTTTGACCCAACTGTAATTTAAGTATAAATATACAGGATGGTCCGAACTGTATTCCGGCAACTTCGGCAGCATATTCTGGAGATAAAAATAAGTAAAAAAGTTCGTATAAATGTATGTACTAAAATGCTTAAATTCGGAGATATAGGGTGTAGAAGTTTCATTTTTATTTAGATTTTTTCCAAATAATTTCTGAAGTAACGTAAATATTTAGATGAAAATTAATGTCTGGGAGTTTTTTGACATGAGAAATTTGATTATGATGTCAATATAACTACTTGTAGGGGGCGCCACCTACATGCACTACGTGTTTTGGTGTATTGTGGTGATTTAGTGTTTTTATTTTGCTATTTTTATCTGCTAACTAATGTCGATATTTGGATAAAATTTGGTTTCGTCGAATTGGATTTATCGTCATTATTTTCAAGAAAAAATTATGATTATTAAAAAAAAAGTTCCCAAATGTTTCATTTCAGCCAAATAACTATGTAGTTAATTCATCATTCATACGGGGCGAAAAGTTACCTACTACTCTTCAAAACAGTTTAAAGATATGAAAATGGTGCCCCCTGGCCCCCTACAAGTAGAAGTCATATTGACATCAAAATCAAATTTCTCATGTCAATTTTCATCCAAATATAGGCATTATTGTTTATATAGGCATAAGTTATTTTGAAAAAATTGAAATAAAAATGAAACTTTTACATCCTGTAGAATATGCTGCCGAAGTTTCCCGAATACAATACGGACCACCCTGTATTTTTTATTATTTACAGATATTTCGTGTTGCGACAGTGAAAATAATAACTTTTACAATTATGGCTTTGCAATGGGCGGATTTGACGTTTCTTTTTACAGTAAAGAGGTAATTAGCATTAAGAGCTTTTTGTTTCTATACCGGGTGCGTCTCAAAAGTGGTTCACCCCTATAACTCTTTTATATTTTTTTTGAGTGAAAAAACATATTTGGTATGTTTGGTTTGGTTTGGTTTCAGTTTTTTTACTTCGAGACTAGTCCGTTTTTTATCGCCCTCGGGCTCGCTTCTGTTTATGGTATCAACAGTTATCCAGGTCGCTTTTCTTTTCTCTCAGTATTTTTTCCACATACCTTGATATGCGGTTCCAGTTTTCTGGGCTCTGATGCATTTTTTGGATGATGTTATCAGGGGATAGTTGTCCTTCAATTTCTTCCTCGATATTCCTTCTGTATACGCTACACCTGTTGCATGTAAAAAAGGTATGCTCTGCGTCGTCATCACCTTCGCAGTAAAGGCATACTGGCATACTCATTTGGTATGTTAGTGTATGACATTGTCATATACTGTTTGTATATGTGTAACTTATGACATTTTTGCGTATCGTTAATTTGGAATTATAACATGCGGTTCATAACAAAAATTTGACTCGAAATACCAAGTGTGTGGTATCAAATTATTCTTAAAAAAATGCTTTTTTCCAAATATGCGAATGAGTCACCCTCTTTCCATTTGAGAAAATTGAGATAGGATTAAAAATACTATTTGGACATCTTTTAAAAGCCAGGATAGGACACTTAAAAGATTAGACGATCAAATCTATTTTTCCAAGGCTCCTTGATTAAAAATTAGTGTTTTTAACATTTCCACTCCAGATTGAAATTTAAAATACGATTTTTTATTAAGCGAGAATGCCAAATGTTGACATGATATGGCATTCTATTCAGAATGTCATTTTCTATCGAAAAAAGTAAAAATATACCGGGGGTGCCATTTAAAAATCTAAAGTTGTAGTCATTTCCGGTGAAACAGGAAGCGACCAAAAACAATTAAACACGCCAATCAATCCTAATTAATGTCATATACTAACATACTAAATCTCGTTTTTTTATCTGATAAAATAAAAAAGTTATAGGGGGTGAGCCAGCACTTTTGAGACGCGCCCGGTATAGGGTGATTCATGGCGATGGTAGGTTAGACGCTTAGATTAAGAAATGTATGGAGCACCGTTGATTGAGCCCTCAGAGTAAGATTGAGCCACCTGCCCAATTCATCTAAATTATTCTCAGCGTTACAATATGGTCGCTTCATTTGGAAAGTAGTAGCATCTTTGTCATTGAAATGTAACAACTGAAATATTGTCACATATTGTTGGAAACTACAAATAAAAAACGCCAACGGGAATTTTATTTTGTCATATTTAAAGTATTATATTTTTTTATTTTTCGCTCTACTTTTATGATTTTTTTGGCAAACTGTGTATAAATATATCTACTTTAATTGCTAAACTCAGCTTTTTTTATAAACTTTTGTATTAGGCCTATTATACAAGGTTAATCGAAGAGTTGTTTTTACCTCAATTTTAAAACACCCTGTGCAATAATGTCGTTAGTAAAGTTTCCTAAAAAAGTATTTTTCAGCCAAAATCATGGTTAATTTTTAAGAGCGAAATGATCTTGCTACCGACAATTTGCACTTTTTTCAATTATAATTATTACTTATTATTGTTATTTTTTAGTTTAACGAAGTGGGATTGGTGACTATTGTCGTAATGTCATATTAAATTACATTTTGTATACCTACGATTGAATATGTTTAACTAACTTAGTCAATACATATTACATTTTTTACCAAATATATCATGGTGAATTCACACAAGTTTTGTGAATATGTCTAGAAGTCTAGAGACATGCAATTTTACTACAATTTTTAAACTCACAAAACTCATTGTGAAAATAATATCGTTCAGTAATAATCATTTAATATTAATAAACTGTTTTGCAAAATTACATTTTTTGTGAAACTATGCAAAAATATCTTATTTTTACAAGTTTCTTATTGAAAATACTCTAAAGCAGGGCGCCCATTGAATCGGATCGGATCGGATCGGCACGGAACAGTCCTGTCGGAATGATTTGAAATACGTAGAAATAGATTGACATCCGCGCACTGCTTCAGTCCCGCTCGGCAACGCCCATCGGTTGGCTTCGGAATCTTTCGTCTTAGTCTTTTTTGGTAGAGAGGGCAAAAAATTCCGAAGGTCCGATCAGTTTTCTCGTTGTGTTTGATGTAAACAGCGTGTACTACCTTGTAGTTGATTATTTTGTGTGCTATTTATTGTTTACAATGGATGAAGAACTTTTAATTGATATTGTTAGAGAATATCCATACCTCTATAATCCAGCTAGTAAATATTATCATGACAGTTCACGAAAGGAAAATGCTTGGGAAGAAAGAGGAAAAATTCTTCATTGCACATGTTTATTATACGTTAGATTATTATATTATTAACATAAATAACATTAGTAGTTGCGGGAGAATTTTGTGTGTCAAAATTCTGCTTTCATGCATATCACAGTATATTTCTTGATAAATACTTTAACGTTGCCAAGGTACAGAACCTCGAGGAGAAATGAAAAACTCTTTAAATGTTTCTCGAACTGCATGTGCTTCTCTTTGCAAATTGCCACCAGACCAAATTGTTACATCTCCACAATATTCCTATCCTTCTGATTCAAAACTACCAAGAAGATATGAACACTATGAACAACCACGGATGTCACATTTTCAAAACCTATATTTTTTTTTTGTTAGAATCTAAAGTTTATTTGTATGAAGGCAGTATCTAAATTAGTTTTAGTGTTGTAATGTTTTTGTTTTTCGGTAAATTAAAATAAATAAATATAGTTGCACTTACTTCAGTGTTACTGCTAAACGTTCTTCAGGAGAAATTGCTTTTCGAAAATTAGTATCTTGTCGTTTTAAAGGTTATATCTTAACCAATTCAATTTTTTTTCTTGCAACGGTCTAAAATATTTGAAAAATTTCTGATCATCTCTTAATAAATCAGGAAACAGGTTCACAAACTCTCCAAATAGGTACATCTCGTTTGAGGTTAATTTCGGCGTGGACCCAAAATCTCCTATTTTGTTTCTCTATCTCAAGGCATGCCAACGCGATCATATCATCTTCGTCGGAAGATGAAGAGCTCATATTTTAGAAATTATTAAGTATTGTTTATAAAATTCTAATCCGAACTAACTAAAATAAACTACACGCCATAAAAATTATATTTCGACTGATAAACTGAAGCATACCGATTTGGTGAGTGGATGTTGGACGTTTCCGGACTGAGCGATGCCGTGCCGATCCGATCCGATCCGATCCGATCCGATCCGATCCGATCCGATCCGATTCAATGGGCTCCCCGCTTAATGTATCAATATTTTTTTTTGTAAAATTACTTATATTTTTTAGTGCAGAGTACCTACAAATAGACCACCAAAAGAAAGGTCTCTAAGCTCACAAATTCTGCTGCAGCCCGTGTAGGGGCGTTACATGTCCTTATATTCTTTAGTCATTGGGATACCCTCTATTTGTAAATTATAAAACTCGTATTTTTATTAAGATTTTCATATTTCTTTAAATTAAGCACATTTTACATTTTTCAGGGAACATCTCAGATGTTTATTGGCGCACCAGGAGCGAAATCATTTACAGGTATTAATATTATATAAGTTTATATATTGTATGTTGTATATATACCGGGTGGTGCATCGTCGTTGGGAACATAGGAAATCCCATGCAAATTTTGTTCAACTGTTCAAATATTGGCTCCCCTATTGATTTTACAGCAAAGTCGTAAATACATTTTTTAAAGGTTTATGTATGGTAAATACACATGTCAAATTTGAACAATTTTGGACCAGCCGATTTTGAGTAATTTAAAAAAATTGCATCTATTTTTAAATTAAAACCGACCGGGTAACAATCAAACACCAGTCAAAATCTGACATACCTTAGGTTTATAAGCTATGATTTTGTCATTGTTAAAAGTAATATTTCAATATTCGGGAGAAATAAACCGAAACACGTCAGATACACTGTCTAAGCTATTTCCAGTGTAGTACCATTTTATCATGTTCACTTTTTCTTTATGTGTATAACAATAAATTATTACTAGTACTGAATATTAAAATTTTATTAAAATTAAGTTACGTTTGAAAATGATGTTAAATAGCATAAACAACAAGAACAAAACACTAATATACAGGGTGGTCCGAACTGTAGTCCCGAAACTTCAGCAGTATATTCTGCAGATAAAAATAAGTAAAAAAAGTTTATATAAATGTATGTCCTAAAATGCTTAGTTTTGGAGATACAGGGTGTAGAAATTTCATTTTTATTTCGATGTTTTCCAAATAATTTATGAAGTAACGTCAATATTTGGATGAAAATTGGTGTCTGGGAGATTTTTTTGACATGAGAAATTTGATTTTGATGTCAATATGACTCCTATTTGAGGAGGCGCCACCTACTTTTTAGGAGGCGCCACCTACTTTTAACTGTTAATCCGTACCTGTATAAAACTACTGAGTAAAAAAATATACATTTACGACGTTTTTTACGTAAAAAAAGTCTCTTGGTAAAAATCGCTACGAGCAACCGTTCTCAAGATATTTAGAACGGAAATAATCAATACATGTCATTATTGACAAAAAATAAACCCGTTGAGTAGATAGTTTTTTGACTGATATAATTGCCTGAAATTTTTATTTTTATAAATTAATCATAAATTTTTCTGCGAAAAAATGATAATAAAACAGTTACTGTTGAATTTTTGGTACAAAAACATTTTAAATTTATTATTTTAGTCTAATAACTATTTACTCAACACGTTTAATTTATGTCAATGATGACAGGTATGCATTTCGATTCCAAATATCTCGAGAACCATTACTCATAGCGATTTTCACCAAGAGACCTTTTTTACCTAAAAAACGTCGTAAATGTATATTATTTTATTTAGTAGTTTTATACAGGTACGGACGAAAAGTTATTACTCTTCAAAACAGTTAAAACACATGTAGGTGACGCCCCCTACAAATAGGAGTCATATTGACATCAAAATCAAATTTCTCATGTCAAAAAACTTCCAGACACCAATTTTCATTCAAATATTGATGTTACTTCAGAAATTATTTGGAAAAAATCGAAATAAAAATGAAACTTCTACACCCTGTATTTCGGAGATACTACTAAGCATTTTAGAACATACATTTAGACGAACTTTTTTACTTATTTTTTTTCTGCAGAATACGCTGCCGAAGTTTCCGGAATACAGTTCGGACCACCCTGTATAATACCATCATCAAGAGTATTACCACGTACAGCTGTGAAGTGTGGCCAATTAAGGAAACAACAAAACGAATGCTGGAAGCTACAGAGATGGATTTTTGGAGAAGATCAGCAGGCAAAGCAAGACTCGAGCGAATAACTTATGAACGCATAAGGGAGATTATGGAAGTTAAACATACAGTAGTGGACGAGATAAAGAACAGTCAACTCATACGGGTATGTCCAAAGAATGGCAGAGGTAAGAATCTCAAAGCAAATTACAACCTGGAAACCTGCAGGAAGAAGAAAACCGGGTAGACCGAGAAGAAGCTGGCAGGAAGGGATTGACACGTTTATGGAGGAAAGATCTCTCGGAGACAGTGCATGGAGAGACAGACAGGCATGGAGAGATGGCATCGGAAGACGTAGAACGTTTTAAACCGATTAATATACTATATGTATATATTGAAAATGATGTTGACAACTTAAGGCATGTCGGTTTTTGACTGGTGTTTGATTATTACCTGTTCAGTTTTAATTTAAAAATCAATTCAATTTTTTTCAAATTACCTAAAATCCGCTTGTCCAAAATTGTTCAAATTTGGCACGTATGTTTACTAAAACGTAAACCTTAAACAATCTATTTACGACTTCGCTATAAAATCAATACAGGAGCCAGTATCTGAACAGTTCAAAATTTGCATGGGATTTCCAGCGACGATGCACCACCCGGTATACCGAGTGCGTCTCAAAAGTGGCTCACCCCTATAACTTTTTCATTTTTTCAGATAAAAAAACGAGATTTGGTACGTTTGTATATGACAAAAATTAGGATTGATTGACGTATTCAATTGTTTTTGGTCACTTCCTGTTTCACCGGAAGTGACTACAACTTTTGATTTTAAATGGCACCCTCGGTATTTTTTTACTTTATTCAATAGAAAATATCACTCTGAGTAGAATGACATATCATATGTCAACTTTTGACGTTTTCGCATATGGTTTATTTGAAATTATAACTTGCGGCTCGTAACGAAAATTTGACTCGCAATACCAAGTGTGTGGTAGATATCAAATTAGTCGTAAAAAATGCTTTTTCCAAATATGCTGATGAGCCACCCTAGTTCCATTTGAAAAAATTGAGATATGTATAGATATATATATATATATATATATATATATATATATATATGATATATATATATATATATATATATATATATATATATATATATATATATATATATATATATATATATATATATATATATAATATATATATATATATATATATATATATACTATATATATATATATATATATATATATATATATATATATATGTCTATATATATATATATATATATATATATATATATATATATATATATATATATATATATACACACAAAGATGGCGGAAAAATGTGAAAAATAATGTTTTTATTTCTTATCTTGAAAACGAAAAAAGATAGACTAATAAAATTTTATGGAAGCATTACTGTTATGAAAACACATTTTCTGGTAATTTTTTCACTTTTTTAAAATGAGTGGAAGGGGTTGAAATAAACTACCCCTATCATTCTTGTTAACGAAATTTAAAGAAAAATCTTATCAAACACATGCAAAAAAATTAATTTGGATAGTTTAGTTTGTTTAGAAACTTTTTTATCTCTTCTATTTTTTGATAAAACTCACCGATTTGAAATTAAAAAATAAAATGTAAAGCATTACATGTCAGGACAAATAACATTTTCTTATAAAGAATCTAGTGGGCTGCTGTAATTTTTTAGGAAAAAATCTAGTCGGCCGCTGTTACTTTTTAAGATGTTCCTAATATTATTTTATTTGACATTACTCTACTGCAATACGTTATTATCTAGATGATTATTATTATCGTTATTATCACTAGATTCTTAATCTAAAAATGTTTTTTGTCCTGACATGTAATGCTTTACATTTTATTTTTTAATTTCCAATCGGTGAGTTTTATCAAAAAAACACAAGAGGTAAAAAAGTTTCTAAACAAACTGAACTATCCAAATTAAAGCATTTGCATGTGTTTGATAGGATTTTTCTTTAAATTTCGTTAACAAGAATGACAGGGGTGGTTTATTTCAACCCCTTCCACTCATTTTAAAAAAGTAAAAATATTACCTGAAAGTGTGTTTTCATAACAGTAATGCTTCCATAAAATTTCATTAGTCTATCTCTTTTCGTTTTCAAGATAAAAAATAAAAACATTATTTTTCCGCCATCTTTGTACCGCGATATCTCCCTAATGGTTGACTTTTGACCCAACGTTTATAAAGCACTACCCTTTATTTTGAACAAGGAATCACCCCCTAAAGTTTTTCGCATTTGTTTTGAAATACCCTGTATATAATAATAAATCATAATAAATCATAATAATAATAACATCAAATCTATTTTTCCAAGACTCCTTGATTAAGAATTAGTGTTTTTAATATAGCCATGGCACTCTAGATAGAATTTTAGAATACTATTTTTTATTAAGCGAGAATGTCAAAAGTTGACATATGATATGCCATTCTTTTCAGAATGTGACTTTCTATTGAATAAAGTAAAAAAAATAACGGGGATGCCATTTAAAAATCAAAAGTTGTAGTCATTTACGCTGAAATAGGAAGTGACCAAAATCAATTGAATACGTCAGTCAATCCTAATTTATGTCATATACAAACGTACCAAATCTCGTTTTTTTATCTGAAAAAATAAAAAAGTTATAGGGGGTGAGCCACTTTTGAGACGCACCACGCATATTACATAACACCAAAAATTTGACCAGAAATTGTCTACGGGGAACGTCTATCTACAATTTTACAAGTAGGAGTTGTAAATTAAATTTTGACATATCGTATTACACCTATTTTTAGAATTATTATAATTCCTATTTTGATTAAAAATTTTTATAAGATTAAACTTTGTTGAAGCTTTTATACTAGTTACTTGATGATGACGCATTACTGAAATAAGGGTTAAATTAATATTTAATATTATTCTTTTAGGCATTACAGCGGTATATGCATTAAATCAGAACCCATTGGCCGTATTAATGCCCAATATAAAATTACTAAATGCCGGAGATGCGTGTTCATATTTTGGTGAGTAAAATCTTTAGCAAAAGTCTCCAGCTATTTCAATAAATCTAGTTAAACGTGCTACTTTATCTACCTTATGAGCTTTCTAAAATACACTGTATACTTATTTTCATTAATAAGGTTAAAAAAATCATTATTTGCTTTTTTTTAACATTAATCAATCTACTATAAAAAAGTGTTATTATTTTATTTAATTTAATTTAACCAGATAATTTTGTTTTCCATCGTGTTATCCATATTAAAAAAAAACAAAGATTATGGGCTAGAAAGCGGCTTAACAGAAAAAACCGGCCTGTTGTGTGGTTAGCTTACCCAACAAGGTTTAGCAGTTTCTGTTGTGCAAAAAGGTTTTTTTTCTTCAAAATCTGTTTATTTTTCATTTTATAGAATATAATTAATTTCTCTTGGTTAAGTATATTCTTAACAATAAATATAATTTGTTTAGGATATTCTGTAGCAACAATAAATCCCATGCCAAACAGCCTTGCAATTTGGTATTTGGCCGGCGAACCCAGAGGTAATGATTTAAAAGGAAAGGTAAGGTTTATGTTTATTTTATTTATTTACACATTTTTCTTCTTAGAAATATTTGATATTGTATTAAGTTTCAAATAATTTTAGGTATGTCAAAAAATTTGAGTTATGCAAACAATTGATGGTATGCAAACAATTGTAGTAGCACAGAGTATAGCCCAGAGCCTATACAGGCCGAGGTTCAACAAATTAGAGACAAGCTGGCATGGAGCTTCATTTTGTAGATCTTTAAACATCCTGAAACCCCAGCGATGAAGCGTTGAGCCCGTCACCTCAAAACCACCCATACAAGGGGTAATAATGGTCCTTTTTTACTTTTTCTTCAATAACTCTAAAACTACGAATTTTAGGAAAAAAAGTCACGAGTAAAAAATTGAAGAGAAGAAAATTTCCTACCGCATAGGTAAAGAACCAAAATGTTTAGAATTTCAGTGGCGCAGGTGCGAATTCTTTAATTTAGGAGGATTGTTTTAATAACCCACCATTCTGTGTTTAACTTCAAATGAGAGCATTTTTGAGATAAGTCTCGAAACCAAAAAATTTATTAGGATACAAGTTCCTATAAAAACGATCTTTTTGATAAAGGTAAGTTACCAGTGGCGGAGATAATTTTTTTAAATGTGCGTTTTTTACATTTTAAAAACATTGAATAAGAAAAATTGCAGTTTTACAAATAATTTCCCATGAAATAGGTATATTGAAAAATTTAATTATTATTAATAACAAAATAAGAAATTATTTATATTAATAACAAAATAAGAAAAACCTTAGCTCAAAAATAGGATAAGTTATCTTAAGGATAGTCCTCATTCACTTCCACATTTGTTGGGTTCTTACATGTAATGCCATTGCATTGACCATATGCCATAGTGCAGGTGAGTCCCATTCGCTTGCATGTACATGCTTTTTTACATCCTTCCGAAGAGCAATTGCAAAAAAAATTCTCTAAAATCTATGTAGGAGCAATGGGCTGGTCTGAATGTATTGGATTCATCTCTCGATTTTTCAGATTCCAACCCGAATCTTGCGGTGGTAAATTGTTATTTAACCAAGACTTGCAAGTCAAAAATAAGAATTTAGTTTAACATTTGAATGCAATATAAATTTAACTTACCTGATAAAAAACTCTTAAGTCCATGATATTTCGCACTATTGGAGGTAGGTGTTAATGATGCCAAGTTGAAGTTGGTATTAAGACTTCTTTTAGCTACGTACTGTTGATAAAGCATATATCTGGCACTATCCAAATCTACTTTTTTTGTCGAGTTTTTAACATATGCTGCTATAAAAAACTGAGATGTAGCTTCTTCTAACTTCTCCTTTGTAGCATCGGGATTATAAAATTCTTTGTTGTTCACTAAATTAATCTTCCCTTTATTGAACACAGCAGACGTTGTGTCACAACCAGATATAGCGTGGACACTAAGAATCACATTCTTCAGATCCCCCAATTTTTGTTGTAAGGCCGATATGTCGATTGTTTTATTTGGTTTTGACACCTTTCCCGGACGAATCATAAACAGTCTCTTGTGGCAATAATGAATCAGTAACACTATAATGTCCGTATCTTCGCTAACTACTGCTACGGTAAAATGTCACTTATTGCGATCGCTGTAGTTACAATAAGAGTATCGGCATCACCATCAGCGAATTTAACATTGATTCCATTTTCCAACAATACTTTTCCGAGCGCACGAATGAAGTTGCTTTTGTTGGGGTTGTTTGACAAAATATCTGCTTTTGGTACTTTCACTGCAGATAAATTCGAGAAAGATACAATTGGTACCGTTTTTTTACCTGCAGATCTGCGATTCTGCCCCACAATTTTGGTTTGTATCTCTTCATAGCCATCAAAAACAACTGACATTTTTACCATAGTGATATGTTATATAATTATAGTATTGAGGAAACAGATCTGAAAATATCGCAGGGTACAGGCTTGGTTAAATAACAATTTACCACCGCAAGATTGGTGTTGGAATCTGAATAATCGAGAGCTGAATCCAATATATTCAGATCAGCCCATTGCTCATACATGGGTTTTAGAGAAAATTTTTTGTAAAGGCTGTAAAAAGCATGTACATGTAAGCGAATGTGACTCACCTTGTGGACAACAAATGTGGAAGTGAATGAGGACTATCCTTAAGACAAGTTATCCTATTTTTGAGCTAAGGTTTTTCTTATTTTGTTATTAAACGTGTAAATTTTTCAATATACCTATTTCATGGGAAATTATTTGTAAAATTGCAATTTTTCTTATTCAATGTTTTTAAAATGTAAAAAACGCACATTTAAAAAAATTATCTCCGCCACTGGTAACTTACCTTTATTATTAAAAAAGATATTTTTTATAGGAACGTGTATCCTAATAAATTTTTTGGTCTCCAGATTTATCTCAAAAATGCTTTCATTTGAAGTTAAACACAGAATGGTGGGTTATTAAAACAATCCTCCTAAATTAAAGAATTCGCACCTGCGCCACTGAAATTCTAAAAATTTTGGTTCTTTACCTATGTGGTAGGAAATTTTCTTCTCTTCAATTTTTTACTCGTGACTTTTTTTCCTAAAATTCGTAGTTTCAGAGTTATTGAAGAAAAAGTAAAAAAAGGGCCATTTTTACCCCTTTTATGGGTGGTTTTGGGGTGACGGGCTCAACGGTTCATCGCTGGGGTTTCAGGATGTTTAAAAATCTACAAAATGAAGCTTCATGCAAAATTGCAGCTTGTCTCTAATTTGTTGAAGGTCACCCATGTAAAACGATGTATCGGCCCTGAGCTAGTATAGTCAAGTAATACGTACAGTTGCACGTTGCAATGAAATATTTTACATATAGTTCATATCAAATAAACTTTTAGTCACGTGATTAAGCTTGATCGGCACAGCGTTGCCCACTTTTACATATTTTCTTTTAATCAAGATGTTTTAGGAAACAAAAATAAAATAATTATAAATATATAAACAGTTATTATTTACATCATCAAAACTCATCTTCTTAACAGCACTTAAGGAACATAAAGGGCCATTACTACCGCTTTCCCGTTCAAAATATTCTGATAAAGTTGCAATGAGTTTTTTACGACTATTAAGCTAACCTTGTACACTTCACACTAAAAGATGTTCTATAAAGAACATTGTTCGACTGCAAGATCTGCTAGCAAACATTTTTAAGCTTAAAATGTCACAACACTATTTATTTAAACCAAAAACTCGTAATACAAAATTAAAGTGTCAAAACGAATGACAATGTAAGGAAATAAATAAATAAATGCGGCAACTTGACATTTTTTACAGCAGAGCTACCACCTGAAATCCCAGCGAGAAATTTAAATTCCAGTTAGTCAGCCCAACGCCGAATATGTCCATGGTTGCCAACAAGGAACTTAAAAATCGCGCTCTCATTACGCAACTAAAAGTTTAATTGATATCAAATGTATCAATACATCAAATAGTTTATTTTTACACTCAAAAAGTGCATCCTAATTATTACGGTGTTTTTTGTGTTGTGAATATTCTCAGTTTTGGTGTCAATTTTGTCAAATAATAAAAACTTTGTATATTTCAGGCCACGTTATTCAGTTACAACGGAAGAAGTACAACGAATATGTTGATCATAAAAAACTTCTATGGTGAAGAAGTTGGATCTTATTTTGGAGCGTCTGTCTTAGGATTAGATGTCAGTGGAGATGGTTTCGTAGATATTTTCGTTTCTGCTCCAATGAGTAAAGGCCAGTCTTGGAATGAAGGAGCAGTTTACTTTTATAAAGGAATAAAAAAATCCACTGATTTTGTAAGTTTTGCGACATTGGTAATTAGTGGAGTGCTTTAAGCCCTTATCGGATACAAATCTCGGAATTCATTTACTGTGAACGAATGTTTATAAAACTTTTTGCATTGTATTGTTAATAAGATATATTACAAAGTTTACCCATTTAAATTCGTTGCTTTCACTTTAATATTTAAATAAACACACATATACAAATGCATACATACAAGATGGCTCGGTGTTCCGAAAAAGCTCTGTATCAGGATTCCTATTTGAGATTTTCACTCCAAACCTTTTTCAAAATATGTGTTTAACGGTAGATCATATTTCAAAAATATTTTTTTAGATATACAGGGTGAGTCAAATATATGTTTACACTTAAGTTTTAGTTTTTCAAATGAAATGCTTTATATTTGTTTAGTTCAGTAAATTTGCTATAAAATTCCGGTTCCAAAAATACTTTAATACCATAGAGTATACTGAGTGGTTTTTGCATTATGACCACGATGTCCAGGAACCTTCGTATGAGAACTTAAACCTGTTGTAAGTTTATCGCTAAGAAACCGTTGTTTGCCAGCTTTTCAAATTTATAATAAATTGCAACTAAGGAACGTACATATTAACTAACGGACTATAAGAAGAAGGCTAAATGAAGCAAATCTTATGTCAAGAAGACCTGCTTCGTAATCAGAACTTACTAGATCTGTTGACTAGGACCGAAAGCAAAGGCATGGTCTTAATGTAAAAATTACGAAAAAATGTTAGCGTCTTCTTCAAAAGTGAATATCTCCAACAAAAATAAAGTAATGAGATGAACTAAAAGACAAACTATCGAGAAAGGATGTACCTAGATAATAAAATGAATTTCAAATTTCTTTCTGTTTTAACATATTCCAGAGGGTGTTTCAAACTTTCTCCAAAATATCAACATTTTGTTTTCCCTCGTATAATTAAACAGATAGGGAGTTTCATTTTTAATTTAGAAAGAGATACTAAAAATTCAAATAATTTGGCTACAGACTGCTTAAAAAATCATCAAAATCGGCCCATTAGAACAAAATATATTAAACTTTAAAATACATCAGTTTTAAGGTGCCTATTTATCGTGCCGGTGAATGTATTTCAAAAACTATACATTTTAGTCATATCCTTTTCCAATGAAATTCACCTTTATTTTTTTACTAGAATCCGAAAATCAATTATATATAGGGTGTTCCATTACAAAAAATACAACTTTGATATGTAACTTTTTTTGGGGACACTCTGTAGAACTTTATATAATTTTAGAAAATGCTTTATATTGACTTACATAAGCTCACAAAATTTCACTTCAATACAAACTTTTGTTCTCCTTGCAAAAACCGGGTCGTATATGACGCGCCACCCTGTATAATTCGATTTCAATCAAAATTTTAATGATTAGAATATAAACAGAATATGTATTGTTTATGCATTAGATTCATTTATTTCAATAAATTTACTTAGAAAAAAAATTAAGAAAATAAAAAAATTAAGAAGGAAATAACTAAGAATTTACTAAAATTACTAAAATAAAAAATTAAAAGCAGAGAAAAAAAATGGGTAAACATTTTAGTATTTTTTCTATAAAACACAATACAGCAGGTTTCACATCAATACATTCACAGTAATTGAATTCCGAGGTAAAAGTCTCTGGACAGTCCACCAAATTGTATCGTGTTATATTATTTTTAATCGTCTTGGCTTTCAAACAAAGTTTAAACAAAATGTCGAATTGAGAATTATTAGTTCCATTTCTTATTTTCTCAGTCAATTGATTTTTCTTTATTTTTGTTGTTTGTATTTTTTAGCATAAACCAAAACAAATACATGGACTTGGAGGAGGAGGTAGTCTATTTGGCTCGGCAATATCATCATTGGGAGATTTTGATCTTGATGGATATAATGGTGATTATGTTTATTATAAGAAAATATTAAAAGTAATAAAATATATATTTTTTATATTTATTTAAAATTATGTCATTATAAAAAGTTGCCGCAAATTTTAATCATTTATTAAGGCTTTCTAAAATATATCCACACATTTTTTGTTCTATACGTCATTGCACTATAGCCGGAGTACCAGCAGATCGTTCTATACCGCGTGCGTCTCAAAAGTGGCTCACCCTTAATATTATTTTATTTTTAAAGATAACAAAACGAGATTTGGTTTTTACATAAATTAGGATTGATTGGCGTATTCAATTATTTTTGGTCACAGCCTGTTTCACCGAAAATGACTAGAACTTTTGATTTTTAAATGACACCCTTGGTATTTTTTTATTTCATTCGATAGAAAATGACACCCTGTATAGAATGACATATCATTTCTACTTTTGATATTTTCGCATTGGTTTATTTGAAATTGTAACATGCGGTTCATAACGACAAAATTTACTCGAAATACCAAGTGTGTGGTACCAAATTATTCGTAAAAAAAATGCTTTTTCAAAATATGTTAATGAGCCACCCTTGTTCCATTTGAAAAAATTGAGATATGATTAAAAATACGATTTGGGTATCTTTTAACGGGCCAGGACAAGACATTTTGTGAAAGCGAATCAAATTATTTATTAATTTTTTATTTTACGCGTATAAAACTATATGTTACATGCAAAAACACTATTTCTTACACGTAAAAAACTATGCGTAATATAATTTTTTTAATTAATTACTTTTTCAACATTTCAAACTACACTTTTTCCAATATGTCCCTCCAATAGCTATTAAATAACAATTTAATAGCTATTAGTAAGAAGTTTCACTTCAAATATGCACACATAGTGCACACACAATTTTTTTGTGCTATTATCTCTGCTGTATCTATATGACCAAACATTTTATAATTAAAGGCAAATTCTCATTTAGTCTCACTGAATCAGTTACTAAACGATCAATAAACGTGAGAACACATTTTCAGTAAAAAAGAAAAAAAATTCTCTTTCATTAATAATGAAATAATTAATCAGTCAAACTGCTTCAGTGAGACTGACAGGTGAGATTCCGCCTTTAGAGAACTAGCTTTGGAATATCCTTTAATTAACTATAGTGCGATTATTTCTAGGTTTGATTTTTGTTTCCACTATTAATTAATTTAATTCTTTGTAACTCTTTTTGTTTATAGATATTGCTATTTCTGCACCTTACGAAGGCAATGGCGCCGTTTATATATACAGGGGAAGTCCTACTGACCTGAAATTTTCTCAAAGAATAACCCCATCTCAATTTAATATTGGTGATTCTATTAAAGGTTTTGGTTTGGGCTTGTCAAGAGGAAACGACATCGATCAAAATGGTCATAACGGTAAGTGCACGAAACTATATAGAAAGTAAATTTTAATCATCTTTAGAGTGACGAGAAAATTTGATCGCAATTTAAGAATCTTTATAGCAATATTAATATAGTAATCTGTTGTTTAATTGTTGCCTAATAAATATACCACTTTTTTTCTCAGACATTGCCATTGGAGCTTACAAAACTGAACAGGTGTTCATTATAAGGAGCAGAAACATCATTGACTTCGATTTTACCTTGAAACCTAGTGTCCAATCGATAGTAATTAATACACGAAGTTTTGAATTAACCGTTTCCATACTATGCACAAAAAGAAGCGAACATTTTGATTTATCCCAAATAAATTTTAATGTTTATATGGATACTATTGATTCTAGATTGTCGACTGAGAAAGAAATCGATACCGTATCGATTCCTTTCAGGCAAGTGACTTACAAAAACTATACCTTCGAAGTTAAAAAGAATAAGGTAATAATGGAATACTAAATATGCCGTATGATCAAAAAGTTTTCTAATAATACTACTATTATACAAAGCAATCGAGATCATAAAAATTGTTCGTACGAACACATTGTACGAATGCTCATTCAATGTAACAGCCGCATTAATTTATAAAGTAGGAAAATTTTTTTACGCTTTGTCTATTGTTGGATTAAATATTTTTTAGGAAATTGTTACAAATATTTCTCCACTTGAAATCAATGTCACTCTTTCCGTTGACGAAGAAAATGTAATAGCAAATGGACTTAGAACCGTGCTTTTGGAAATACCATTCCTACATGGTTGTGGATCAGACAATGTTTGTAACACAGGCTTATCTCTTCAATTAAAATCAGAAAAGTAAGTTTGTCAAATCACTTAAAACGAGTTCTACAAATAGAGGAAAAAACTGCATCTTAACTTTTTATTTTTTAGTCCAGCCAATTTAGCTATAAAAATAGTGATGAAATTACCAAAAATCCGACAAAGCTGAATTTTGGTACAATCATGGATCTTATACTTTTTTTCCTAAGAATTACCACTTCTGAGATATTGCGATTCAAATGTCGATCGATTTATGTTCTGTACATTAAGCTAGGTTGGCACGGGTAGTGAACCACGATCGCGATCGTGGCCCACACTTTCGTGGACCACGCCTCATGTTAACAGTAGATTCGTGAAAGAAGAATAGAAACGAATCCATACGAAAGACGCCACGATAGTGAATAAGCAAATCAAACGTGTTAGATATTTCACGAACCAAATCAATCGTGAATAAGAAATCGCAGAGGAAGTTGAGGTAAAAAACACTATTCTCGCATTAGAAAATATTGATTGACTTCCTATTATAATCTTTAATAGTATCATAAATTTCGAAATCAACTTCAACAGTCATGTCTTCTTCGATCTTTTGTTCTCCTTCTTCTTCTTCGTGCATGTTCACACAATTTTAAATAAGGTTATGCCAGCTATCTCTTCCGTGGCATCACATAAATCCTCGTCAGCAGTATTTACATCGACATTCGAGCAACACTGGTCTAGGCAATTAGTACATGCTGGCGAACAAAGTAATCCTACTTTTCTGCATCCACATTTAGCACTACAACCTTTTATGCAGTTGCAAAAAATAGTATTAAGGAGTTTTTTTCGGAACAAGTAGTAGTAAAGTTTGAATCGGTTACAAAGTATTATCAGTTAATTTCCAACCTCAGTCTTCTGGGTTCAATTGATTACCTAGCCGGTAGACTCGATACAAGTATTGCTGAGCTGAGGCCGATGTCGGAGGAAGACAAGATAAATACCCACATTTACAAAAGATAAATACCTACACTTATCTATACAACGACTTCTTTGGGAGCTTACATGACTTCTTTGGGAGTTACGTAAACGGCAAGGAGAAAGCGAATTCCTGCTGTGACTATCGATTGAGGAGAAGAATCAATTGCTTTAAATACTTTAGCGATATCAATCAAATCTTTTTTTTCTCTAATAATTTTAATACTGCTGCTTTAACTCTTCTTAAAATTGCTGATGCAGTCTCACAGCCAGTTATCGCATGTAAAAATATGGTTTTGCGATTTAGGATCAGTAGGTAGATAAAGTTTTTGAATATATTTTAGTTCGCTGTTAAGCTTTTCCAGTATTAGCAAAGTAAAGTAGTATTAGCAAATCAACATCTTCGCCAACAATAATAGTTATATTTACTGCATTGAATTGTTCTGTTGCTGTTTCAACTATGAGGACATCAGCGTCATTATCAGCTTCTTTCACTGAAATATTATCGGTAGTCAGCTTGTCACTTAACATTGAAATAAACGAGATTTATTGTGAAAGTTAGCGAGAAATTGTTGTTAGGTTGCCGGAACACGAGGATATTTTTGTAGTTCGACGGCGTTGTTCTGCAGTTTTATTATTTTTTGTAGAGTCACTGAGTCTGGTTCAGTATCTTTTGAGTGTATATTCTCAAAATATGCAGATTGTTAACTGGACGGTCACTTATTGGGGAACAGAATGGCAACACTGCCTACATTCCAAATGAGTATTAAGCTAAGCAGCTGCCGACTCGTCCCGTCGGGCCGAGGTTGCCATATTTCAACCATAACGCTCTTGCCGCGAGTAATAAACAAGTTAACAACCTGTATATAATAGTATGGTTTATACATATGTATATGTTACGGTTAAAGTCCGATGTCCGGTTAATGTCGACATTAACAGGTTAATGTTTGGGTTAGGTTATATTTTTGGTTGTTTTGTTTTGTGTTATTCTCGAGATTAACCGGGTAATGTCGACATTAACCGGACATCAAACTTTAACCGTAACATATATAAGACACATAAGCATTTTTACTTATATTAAATGCCCGATTATGTATATCTGTGACGCATGCGTGCATACTTTATAGATCATAACTCGATCGACATTTTAAATCAAAATATATCAGAAGTGGTAATTCTTACGAAAATAGTGTGAAAATTTTCTAATCTACAATTTTGTTCTGAACTATTTTTGTGAAAAAGCTTTTACCAAACCGTTTACGAGAAAAAAAATAAAAAAAAAATTGACATTTAACCTTGAATAACTTTTTAGCAGACGTGGGATCGATGGAGACTTCTTTCTGCTTCTTTATAATTAACTCAAGGTCTCTACCAAAATTCAGCTTTGTCGGAATTTTGGTAGATTGAAATGTTTAATTCGACAGGAGTATTTGTACATTTTTAATTTATGGCATCTCCAGATCAATTTCTATTGTTAAGTTTAACCCCTTAACCTCTAATCAGTTATAACTTGAGACAAATGAAGTTCCTTTTTCTTTAACCGAAATTTCAATATTGTCTGTAGGATCAATATTGAAATTGCGCTTATTAAGTTTGAAATTAAATATATTATTACTAATGTTACATATATGTAACATTAGTATAGAAAAAATATGTTTTTATTACGTTTAAGTTTTTATCTACATTATTTTAGAAACCAGCTGATAGTAGGGCAAGATACCGAAATAGTTATGGAAGTTCAAATAATTAACGAAGGAGATCCAGCCTATAAATGTGAACTTAACATTGAAGTGTCTTCGGGCATAGAATTGAGAAGCTCGAAATCTTGTTTTACAAACGACACTGTATATGTATGTGAAGTTAGCAACATTTTAAATGCAAACGAAATTGAAGTTGTAAGTTTTTTTATTTCATAATCATTTATTGTCTGTGTTTTTATTATTGTATTACTTTTTGGATATCTACATTACAAGGCATTTTTTTGTGGAATGAATTAGAAATAATTTTAAACCTAAATAATAAATTACATATCTATTTTAGAACCAATATATCTTTGATATAGGAAGAATGGATATATCTATAGAAGAAGTAGTGATTTCTGTCAAAGTTACTAGTTTGGGAAAGAATAAGGATGGGTTTAAAAACAATGATATTTTAAAACTACCAGTTAGACTGGTTAATCTACCTTTTCTAATAAGGTACATGTTTATTGCATTATATTAGATAATAAAAACAAATCTTCATTATTCTTCTTTAATATAGGTATAAAACTAATATAATAAATATCACACTTGGAGGTTGGAACCTTTGGTGTTACAACAGCAAAATAAAATACTAATTCGCCACAATACGCCACAGCACTAATTTTAAACACTGGAATCGCGTTTCTCTAACCATGCTAGCATCATCAGCAGATCATTAAAACTAAAAAAAAAATCAAATAACATGGTCAGCGAAACCGTGTTTAAGACAATGTTTTATAAAGTGTGTTTTGGTGTATTGTGGTGAATTAGTGTTGTATTTTGCTAGGATAATGAAGATTGCAACGAAAAAAAAATTTTGAATCGTTTATTTATCTATATTTTTATATATTTTCAGTAAATCCAAACCAGAAAATACAGAGATATTTAAGGATAATGCTGATGAAAGTGAAATAGATTTTATTCATGAATTTTCAGTTGGAAAAACTGGGCCATCACCTCTAGCTGTTGACTTACAAATCTCTCTTCCATCACCAAAGTATCAGAATAAGGACATATTTGAAGTCAAAGATATTAAAGTATGTTTTACTTGATTACAGTTTTCTTTGATCTTAGATAATATATTTTTTCTGGTAGGTTTCTTAGTGTATCATACTAATTAATTAGGAAAAAAACGTATTAAAATGTTAACAAAATGTACAATACTAGTAGTGATGCTCATTACGATTCTTTTTAGTGAATCGAATCACACGATTCAATTTCGCATATTGAATCGACTCCTACGATTCGTTCATTTGAACTATCATATGCACTATTTACGCATTGAAACAAGATCGTAACTGGCACTACCGGCGATAATTTGGTAGGACAATTACTTAAAGAACCAGAAAAAGAAATATACAGTTATTTCATTTGTTTTTCAACAGTTTATGACACTGGCGTAATTGGATTGATTGTTTTACCAATAATATTAAATTATCAATCCAATTTATATATACTATTTATAAGACTTCTTAATACCAATTTAATATTTTTAGAATCCGATTTAATAATCATAATACATAGTATATAATTATAATATTAATATCCAATACCGCATAATCGAAAACAAATGGCGTTCAGTTGGCTTGGAAATGAACATCGATGATATTCTTCATGTAATTTTCCATATAAAATGACAGCGACCTTCATTTTATAACCATCGCTGACGCCGGTTTTTTATCACATTGAGCAAAGACCAAAAATATTTATATGGAGTTGCATAAAGACACGATTTCGTCTTAGTCCGACATTTAATAGTGGTAATATTATTTTAAGAAGATATTAACATGAAAATTAAATACCTTACAGATACTCCCGTACTAAGCACAGTATAAAGAAGTTTTTTTCTTGTAAATAACTTTGTTATCGTTTGCATTTTATGCCTATGATGTTTGTTTAGGGCTTTTGTTCAAGTCTAAATATTGGTGCCTGTATAGCCGTAGAAACGAACGATCGCATTGTCATCCGATTTAATTCTCACGATTCTTTTTTACGTCTCTTCGTTCAAATCTTATAGATCCGTGCTGGCCACGATTCAATTGAACGAACCGTATTGTAAGCAATGAATCAATTATCACGACTCTTTGAACGCACGATGGCATTGCGATCCAATTCAATTCTTACTATTCTTTTTTACGGATCATCGTTCAAATGTTATGGATCCGTGATGGCCACGATTCAATTGAACGAACCGGATTGCAAGCAATGAATCGAATCTCACGATTCATTTTTAATACTCGTTCAAATGAACGACTCGTTCAATCTTTGCCCACCTCTAAATACTAGTATCGACGTATAATATATATCAATTACATATAACATCCGAAAAATAATTATCGAATTTAATAAAAAAAACTAAGAAAATACTAAAAATGTGGAGTGGGCTGTTTATTTACCTATGAAACGTAACTCCAGGCCCTTTCTTATCGCTGCAGCTTTTACAGTTGAAAGCTGAACAACTAATCACTATTGTAATAAAGTTTATACAAAGTTCACTGCACACAAACTATTAAAAATCGCTAAAATTGTCGCTGATGACTCATTCTTTACAACCAAAAAAATGGCGTCTAACATCACAAATTCTGCTGCATGTCCTTGTATTCTTTAGTCACTGGATATACATATATTACATAATTAACTTTTGATAGCAAATATTGATTAGGTATCTCTTTATTTTGTTTTGTTTTAGGGTACTATAAACATGGTCGATTTTTCTTGTACGCCAACTATTACAGCACCGTCAATAGATGTAAACGAAACAGACCTCTTAACAGTTCCTTTAGAGAAAAGTATTATTTTATCGTGCAACGATAACAGTAACTGTGTCCATTATCTATGCAAAGACGCAATAATTGAAAACTCCAGAGATTTGGCTGTGATTCAAATTAAGCTTTCGATCCGTTCATCCTTATTAGGTAAAATTAGTAAAAATAAATATAAGAATAAATTATGACTATCTTTATTTTATTAGTGCAAGCTTTTATTCAAGAATTCAACTCCAAAGATTTTGTTGCATTTATTCCTAGCGCTATTCAGTACCACTCAGAAGGAAGGTAAGTTATATCAAGAAATATAAAAAACTTAAGAAAGATCGTTTTGCTATAAAAAATATTCTCTGTGATCTTTTTCATATTTTACAAATCTAATTTTAAAATTATTTGAGAATAATATTTGTAATAATTTATTTGTTAATTTCAGCATAAGCGCATCATCAGTTTTTCTAATATTTGCTCAGAAGGTATCACACGTACCATTCTGGGTTTATCTTGTTGCAGCCATAATTGCCTTAATGTTACTTGTGATATTGGTTTGGACATTATATAAGGTAATTTATAATTATTATAATATCACATTTTATAATTCAATTGAGAAGCATTGAAGTTATTTTTTTTTTTGTATAGAGATATTGGAGTAATAATGATTAATAAACAAAATTGCCATTTAAAATATACAGGGTGGTCCGAATTGTATTCGGGAGACTTCGGCAGCATATTCTGCAGAGAAATATAAGTAAAAAACTTTGTATAAATGTATGTCCTAAAATGCTTAGGTTCGATTATTTCCAAATAATATATTATCACCAAATAATATATTATTCACTCAGTAGTTTTATACAGGTAGAGACGATAATATGCAGGTATGGCCAGCCGTAGCGCAAGCAGTTAGTTTGTAATCAATCTGCGGTGCGAGAGATGGGATGGTACTGGGTTCGCTCCTCAGCCAGTACGGTCGCTGTATTTATTTAAATAATATATTTTAATTTAATTTAATTTTTTAATAGTTTTTTATCTAAATAGAGCGACCAGCGAGCTGCCACCTCAAGGAAGGCAATGGCAAACCACCTTGAGTATATTTGCCTTGTACAGCCTCTCAAATAGTGCCGTTCAGATTCGGTGGTAAACTGTATGTCCCGTGTACTTGTGAAACACTGATGACACACATCACAAGTACATGCGAGAGGTAGCCGACACTCTGTATATAGTATGGCACTGTAAGAAGAATAGACGACAAGTTATTACTCTTCAAGTAGGAGTCATATTGACATCGAAATCAAACTTCTTATATCTCAAAAAACACCAATTTTCATCTAAATATATAGTTCAGAAATTATTTGGATAAATTAAAATACAAATAAAATTTTTACACCCTGTATTTAAGAAGCGAACCATTTTCGGACATATATTTACACAAACTTTTTATTTATTTTTATCTGCAACATATGCAGACGAAGTTTCCCGAATACAATTCGGACCATCCAATATATAATACCGTATGATCGAGAAAAACGGCGTCAACGATGGCTATGAAATGAAGATCGCTGTCATTTTATATGTAAATTGATATGGGAAATGTCATCGATCGTCATTTCCCAGCCAACTGGACGCCGGTTTTATTCGATCATACGGTATAAGTATTAAGCGTATTTGTATGATTTAGTATAAACCAAATTTTTATTTTTAGATTTTCTATATTTTCCATAATTTTTTAATAATTTGTATATGTGTGATATGCACGTTTTTTTTTCTAAAATTTGTATTGATTCTGTGTTAATAAATTTTTATTTTAGCTTCATTTCTTTGATCGGAACTACAAAGATAAACTAGAGCAAGAAAAAATTCTACAGGTAGGTAACTTGGGAAACAGTTATGGTATATTTTTAAGCATCAGCGCGCGCAGGAGATTTTGGTCGGCCGATTATTTAGTTAAAGAAGTGAAAATAATACATTATTATGGAGTCGATCGGCCGACTACATTATTGCATGTGTGCGAAGCTCTAAGAATATTATACCATCTACTCATCGAAACTGCGTGGTCTGGATTTTAACATGTAAGACAGTGATGGAAATAGCTTAAATAAAAAATTGAATGTATTAAAAAGAGATAAAAGTTAGGTTAATATATTTCTTCTATGCGGTATTGCCGGATTTTGCATCAAAATTTCAAACCGCAATCGGTTTGGTACCAATTGGTTTGGTGGTTGGTATGAAATTAGTTAGTCATTTTACTACAGCTGTAATAGATTCTTAAACAACTGTTTAACAGAAATGAAAATTATTAAATAGCTTAGATTTATTATCTTTGTTTATTATTTGATTTCTCGTACGAATCGGCAACGCTGTATTCCGCTTTTTATTTTTTCTTTCTGTCTGTCAACTGGTATTATATATTTATTTCTGTCGTATTTATTAAAGTACAGACCACGGAAATAAGGTGATCAGGGCTGGTATATAGTTTTTTGTTTTAGAAAAGAGATTGCTTATCAATTTATTTTACATATAATTTCGAATTATATATAAAATTGCCTTTTTTTAATTGACTTTTTGGTGATTTTAGGAAGACGAGGAAATCGCAAAGGAAATATATGATCATGAGGTGTTTACTCGTTTTGAAGGAAATAGATCTCAAAATTTATAATAAACTTAATTTTCCTAATTGCTTTGTTTCATTTCTAACTAATTATTATGTGAAATTTTCTTCTTATATATATATATATATATATATATATATATATATATATATATATATATATATATATATATATATATAATATATATATTATATGAAATAAAAGCTTACAGCTGTATATTATAATTAATATACACTAAATTACATTTATTAATATACACTAAAGCTGTAAGAATTTTGTTCATTTCATATATTTGAGCAGAGCCGAAAAGACGCTCTTTACCATCTTTGACGGGAGATGCACTAATATCTCACCGACACTTTACGACATCGTCTGCAGATATAGAAGAAGTTTTGCTTGCCGTATCGGTGAGAACCAGCCCCTAGACAGCCCACCTGATGAAGGGTAGGCCCAGAAACCGGTTGTGGGAGTGGAGCTTGGTTCCCCCCTTTACGACAAGCAAAACAAATTTTCTTTACTTTTTTTTTTTTTAATTTTTCTCTACTTTCGATTTTTCGAAATTAGAAAAAATACACAGCTAAAAGGCAAAGAAAATATATTTATTATATATATATATATATATATATATATATATATATATATATATATATATATATATATATATATATATATATATATATATATAATATATATATATATATATATATATATATATATATATATATATATATATATATATCTATATATATCCTCCGTTATTAGTGAGGATGCGGTTTGTACAGACCTATTCCACTTTTTTGTCAAACGGAAGATGCCGTAAACAAAACTTTCATAACGCTCTTTGTTTCTGAGTTACAGGGTCATTTCGAAAATTTTGCAATTTGGGTCAGTCTCTGTATCTTCGTTGTTGTGAAAGCTATCTAGAAGGTAAAATTGATTGTTGTATACAACAATTGTAAATTTTCATTAATTTTTTATTTGCTATAAAATCGTAACAACATACAGCTGGGAAAAATGTAGATCATATATTTCACGATTATGAAAATCTCTTTCACTAGGAACAATCCATTTTTTGTCTCAATAATATTATTTAGTTATGTATAAAGATAGCTATCCCGAATTATTGCTCCTTAAAAAAAATTGATTGTTAAAAATGTTTAAAGTTTTTTGTGTTAAAGCATTTCAAACGGCCTAAAAGCGCGCCTCCAAAGCGCGCCAAACCGGCTGACGTCATAGAGTATGACTTTCGTTGTTAAAATATACAGTCCGGCTCTGAGCTGAATTAAAATTTAGATTTAAAACACTAAAACTGGTGCTCTGAGTGCTGGCACGTGTAGGAAAACAATGCGTAGCAGATGAAAACACTAATTCTCAAAAATATGTAAAAATTGGCAGGTGGTACTGAATAAGTTGCAATGTGGTTAAATAATTCTAATGCATATTAATTTTTGCATTTGTTCATCATATGTTTGATCATAAAACCATCTTTTAATCGCATTTTATTTTATATTAAGCATGATAGCTGGAAAGTTTTAATATTTAAACTATTTAAAGATTCATTAAAAACGTTCATAAATATGAAACTTGAAAATTAACTTTAACTAATAAGAAGAATACAGCATATTATTTTTTTGTTTCAAAAATACAGTTATTAGGCTGTTAATGATACCCTGTAGCCAAAACACAGTTATTAAATGATGACTATTACATATTTTATTAAAATTGTCGCTTTGGGTGTTATTAGAGATAATTAAATGTAATTTAGCAAATAATACACTATCAAAAATTGTTTATATACTTTGAATTAAAATATAGATGTATGATAATTATACCACAATACCATTGAGATAATTTTTTATAGCATTTGTAATTAGATACTGAGGTAATTCTTTTTACTGATGTAAATTTAAGATATTTACATTATTTTACATTTTGTATTATGCGGTAAATTTGCGTCCTTATGTTATAGATGAATTGGGTTTCGCAGGTTTAGTACAAGGAAATAAACCTCTTATTTAAAAAATTGCCGACGTTTCGACGTGTATTTTAAATAAAAAAAAATAATATTGAAAACTATATATAGGATATAAATTTCAAAGTAATTTTTATTACTATAATTATTACCAGATTTAAAACTAATATCTTAAATTTCATCACTACCTTACGATTAAAATTTTATTAATAAAATAAAAAATTTAAAAATCGTGTGTCATAGTTAGACTAATTATGATAAAATAGAATATTATATTACCTTTATTGTTTATTTATTAGTAGCAAAATTATTAAAATTTAAATATTATACATTTTCGAATTTAATTTAAACAACACAATTTATTTTTATAACTACAAACAAGAAAAACCTAACTTCCAATTTAGTGATTATAAATTATAATATATTTATTGCATATTATTTAGTTCAGTTATGAATAAATAATATACCGGGTGTTGCATCGTCGTTGGGAACATAGGAAATCCCATGCAAAATTTGAACTGTCCAAGATATTGGCTCCCCTATGGATTTTATAGCGAAGTCATAAATAGACTTTTTAAAGGTCTACATTTGGTAAACACACATGCCAAATTTGAACAACTTTGGACAGGTCGATTTTAGGTAATTTGAGAAAAACTTAATCGATTTTTATATTAAAACCGAACAGGTAACAATCAAACACCAGTCAAAAACTGACATACCTTAGGTTTACAAACTATAATTTTGCCATTGCAAAAAGTAATTTTAATAACATTTTAATATTTAGGAAAAATTAACCGAAACATGTCAGATACACTGTCTAATCTATTTTCCGCCTATTTCATCATGTTCACTTTTTCTTTATGTGTATAACAATCAATTATTACTAGTACTGAATATTAAAATTTTATTAAAATTAAGTTACGTTTGAAAATGACGCTGACAACTTAAGGAATGTCGGTTTTTGACTGGTGTTTGATTGTTACCTCAGTTTTAATTTAAAAATTGATTAGGTTTCTCTCAAATTACCTAAAATCGGCTTGGCCAAAATTGTTCAAATTTGGCATGTGTTTACCAAATGTAGACCTTTAAAAAGTATATTTACGACTTCGCTATAAAATCCATAGGAGAGCCAATATCTGGACAGTTCAAATTTTGCATGGGTTTTCCTATGTTCCCAACGACGATGCAACACCCTGTATAAGTAAGCAGTTAGTTTCATAAAATAGTTATTGTGATTATTCGAAAATGTTATAAATAATAACTATATTTTTATATTTCTTAGTGTAACTGTTTTTTAATAATAAACTAATTATTTGAAGAATAAATGCAATTATTCTATAGGTGGCAATATGTTTTTTAACATCAACTTATTATACCGTAAGTGAAAATTTAGTTCTGGTAGAAGAAAATAGTAAATTTAAGGGTGTTTTTTGTGTTGTGTCAATTAAAGGTTATCCTGATTTTTGTAGAGTATTTCGTAAAAAAGTAAAGTAAGTATAAGAAAATTTTATAACCTAAAAATGGAGAAATATATATTAGACAGTTAATTTAACGAAAACTGATAATAATCAGTTTTCGACTATTTCAAATTTATTTCAAAATATGAAAAAATAAATTGATTTAACATTGATTTAATTGATTCCATCCCTTGTAAACATTTCGCTCTTAAAAATAATCTTGAAAAAATACTATGTGAAACATAGAACACACTTTTTTAGCCTTACATAATTTTATTCATAATAGTTTCTTAGTCATAATAATAATATAGAGAAAGCACAATAATTAACTACTCCAGTACATCAAAACACTTTACTTTTAATACTGGAAGCGCGTTTTACTATCACTTGTAGCATCACCAGCAGATAATTAAAACTAAAAATGTTTAGGTGTATTGTGGTGAATTGGTGTTTATTTTACTGTTGTAACATACCAGAGGTGGTTAATGAGCTAGGGACGGTACAGCGCTGCACCCCGATGGCAATTTTGTGTGAACGTAGGAGAGAAACGCTAGAGATTTTAGTGATAGATGCTAGGTGATTAAGAATTACCTTTCCCAATATTCACGAGTCGTAAAAATCGTCCCAAAAAAGAGGATTGGGAGATTGCGAAGAAAGTAATCACCTATAGGGAGACTAAAGCGGCGATCGAAAGTTTTAACCCATTTAAATCCCCAGGAGAAGACGGGGCGCTTTCGACCTTATTGCAGAAGGCTGAGAACATTATCGTCCGTAGCTTATTAAATATTTTTAGGGCAAGTCTGTCATGGTCACACCTGCTAGCCTAACGCAACCTAACCAAAGGTGGGGAAACAAAACCGACAACCTGGCTCATATCGAGCAATAAGCCTTATATCATTTCTGCTGAAAACCCTGGAGAAGATATTAGATGTCTAATTCTCTGAATGTCCAGCAATATATTTATCAACAGAGAAAATCAGTTGGGTAAAAAACGTATATGTACTGCCAAAATATCATGTTACTCGCAAGCGACTGCCAATGGCTGCGAAGAAGACTGCCTATGACTGCCATGTAATTATTAGAGACGACTGCCATAAGACTGCCAATGACTGCCAGCGACTGCCAAGAAAATTTACATGTAATTCCAATAGACATCCCTCGGTTCAAACTTAGCGTTCTAAAAAAATCTAGCATGAGACAGGCTCTGTGAATGGGTTAGAGGTGTGACGTTTCGGAACTGGAATGTTCGAGTCCCGAAATAAAACATGCCAAGAAAATCCTAGCAAGGCCATCCAAACGGAGAACAGCATAACTTTTAAAGGCTGGCAGGAATAGAGCGCGTAGGCTCACTGCAGTATACACGGGCCACTGCCGGCTGAGATCACACCTACAGAGGATGGGACTGGTGGAAGACGCCGAATGCCGACTCTGTATGGAAGATGATGAAACAATGAAGCACGTTATGTGTACCCGCTGCACACTGGCCGAATTTGATCAAATCATGGCATAAATAGAAATATTTACTTTTAACAATTAGTCACAAAAATGTTAGTGCTGATACTCTACTAGTCCAGCAGACTAGTTGCACATGATTTTGACTCGATAAATGGTTGATTTATTGTTTCAGTTTAGGTCA